GAAAGTAAAAAAGAGGAAATCCAAAAACAAAAAAGAAAGAAAAAAAAAGGAANCAACCAGTTTTATCCCAAGGAAATGATTTTTAGAGAAACTTCAGAGGGAGGAAAAGGGACTTCTACAATTTCCCTCCGAGGAAAATTAAATTCCTCATAAAACATTTTAACTTGAGCAAAAAAAAATTTCAGCGGAAATTAGCGGGAAAAATGGAAAAATCTGAAAAAAAGCGGAAATCCGCGGAAGAATCTCATCCCTGTTATATAAACTGTACTTACTTACAATATTAACATTTATTCACAAAAACGTTAAGTGTTATTTTTACTTATATACTGTACATTAAAACGTAATATTAATTTAAAAAGGTAAAGAACAAGTAAATCAGATAATAAACAGTTTCAATATCTTCTGTAATGAAAAAGTATAGATTGAAGATATTGATACGTTGAGCAAGAAGACATAACAGATTTTTTTTTAAAAATCATTCCAATAGAATTGCCAAGAATAAGAGAATAAAAAATAGAAAAACGTGACAGGATTGACTACACATAAATGAAAATGGAACTAAGTGACTTAGATTTTTAAATACTTATTAAAAAGGGGAAGCAAACTACCAAGTAGTTGTCGAAAAATATAATTTTCTTGGTTTCAATAAATTCACTTTGAAAATCCCACAATATTGATGACAGATTGACTTCACAAATACACCAGCTTCAAATTTTTTATTTTGAATAAATTTACAAATGCGACATAAAATAATAAGGGAAGAATTTAATCATTTGGAAAAAGAGATTGAAGAAATCAAAATAATGGCAACCATTAAAAGTAACTAGTATTCTCAAAAGTACTAGTAGAATTCCATATTTTTTTTAACACAACGAGCATTAATTTAGGCTTTTAAAGAACTGCTGCATCAAAATCATGAACAATGCTTCTTGCGAAATTATGAGCAAATTTGCAGTTGTTTAGTTTTGCAACAATTGGAGTATTAAGTGATGTAGTAAGTAAATGAGTTAGTTTTCCAACAATAAGGGTTTTGTAAGAAAATATAAGGAAATAATTATGAATATGTAGAATGAAAATGATAATAATAAAGAAAACAATTTTGAAACAAGATAACCACTACGCATTGTTTCACTTTTTATTATTAATCAAATATTTATTTGATCAACAAAGATAAAAATGTTACGAGCTCACCAGACATTTAAAAAAAATCTTTTTTTTATTTTAATTTTCTACTTTACTTTATGTTTGCTGCCTAATTTTCTTGAATTTAATTGAAGAACACTTTACGATGAAATTCTATATATATAAATATAAAATCTACATCTTACTTGTAGATAAGTCTTTTCATACTTTTTCATTGAAAACAAGAGATTCAAATAAAAATTTTTATTTAATACTTTAAAAGGTTATTGCGACAAAATTTATTTTTCTAGCAAATAAACGCTAGATATTTTCATACATTCTAAGATTAAGTAGACGAGGAATGTAAGCAAGTCATACACAAGTTTAAAAAATGTAGAATGAGTACTGAGAAAATGATGGTTATTGGATGATAACAGTTGCAGAATTAAAAAAAATGTCCTTTCAAAAAATTATGCTTAAAAATAATATGCATTCATTACATTAACTTGGAAAATATACCATTGAAAAAATTATTAAAAAAAAATAATATTTTGATTATAAAGTAAACTTTTTGGCAAACTAATTGCAAATATATAACATTTCTACAAAAGCACCTCTGCAAGGAAAACAGCATAAATATATCACATCTTTCAATGATTACTCATGAATTCAATATTGCTAAAAACTTCAAACATTTACTGAAATTTAAAGGATTAGAAACATAGTATTCCCCCCATTAATCTTACGTTTAATTTACAATATTTTACGAGTAATGTACACATTGACAATTACATTTGATGATACTCAAAATGTTTTAACCAGAAAAAATTTTCATTTAACAAAATTTATATAAAAAACTGCAAAATTTCACAAACATACACTGAAATCTTAGGCAGTCACAGAGTAATCTAAACAAAATTATCTTTTAAATTTATATATGAAAAATTACTTATTGCACAGCTAAAAAACAAAATGATTCAATAAAAGAAAGAAGAAAAAAGCTAGTATTTCTTAATTTATTATCTACCCAATACATTAATTAATAATAGATGCATATAAAACAATTTTCCCTTTTATTTATTATTGGAAGATGATTTAGAAAAAAATATGAGTTCAAATATTTGATTGAAAACTGGTACTGCTTTTCAAACAAATATTTGAATTCACATTTAATGTTTTCACATTTAGGAGAGAAATTTATCAATTGGTCTAGATGTGTAGCATATTATAATGCATATTATGAGAGCAAAATAAAAATTTTCAATAATGAAACTTAATACAAAAAATTTTTATTCTATAAAATATATTACTAGTAGTATGGCATAAGTAATATAGGTTATAATATTTTTTTTTATGAAACTTTACATTTCCATGAAACAGAATTTAGGAATAACTGATCGAGTTAATTGCTTTTTCAGTTGTAACAGGACTATTATTAACTGAAAAAAAAAGAAGAAAGAAAACAAAGATACAATAGAATATTAAGAACTACTTTAGGCTTGAATATTAGCATATATATCAATAGCCTTAGCATGAATAAATAGGTTTACACGTAGAAAGTATCTTAATTTTTATTGCACTGTTTAAATTAAAATGTAGGCGATTTAATAAAAAAAAATTCTTATGATCTGTCTCTGATAACTTGCAATGCAAAATAAAGCTAACTTTGCTTTCAAATCATTTTTTACATCAGTTAGAGTATACTTAAAATAAATTTCGCAAACTAAATTAATATTCAATGGTAAAACTTTATTTCTATTAAGTATAAAATTTTTAATATGTTTGGGTTATTATAATGAAATTTAAATAATTTATTAAGATTATTTATAGACAGTTAGAAACAAAGTCTTTCTTTAATAAAAAAAATTCTACAGACATAAAAATTCAACCATCTTATTATATAACATTACAACAAAATAATTTAAATGTAGCATTAAAATCTTTATCAAAAACAAATGAAAGTAATAATAATATAATTAACAATGAATTAACCTATATTGAAATTCAAATATTTTTTAAATGGGGAAAAACATATTCTAAGCAATAAACTACTTTTTTATTATACAGTGTTACATGAACTGATCAATAATAAGTCTAAAATAGACTCTACTGAAAGATAAATTTAAATATATTTTCTAAAAAAAGTTGAACTAAGCATCTATAGTAATTTTCCATACAATAATTGGAAAATATTATACTAAATATTTTGTGAATCATTTATTAGTTTCATGTTTTTTCTTTCTCTCACAAACATACATAAAATATTAGTAAAAAATTAATTTGTACTACTACGAACATAATAAATAATATGATATGCAGACAATATAATGGAATTGTAAGTCCCACAGTAAAAAACATTTTGAGGTTATCTTGCAATGTCATTTTGCATATTTTGCTAATTTTTTTTCCAGATTTTTTTCTTTAAATATTTACACTTTAGTGTCAAAATTTTGCAGGTAGAAAAATATGTGTAACAAATTTATTTTTTTAAAATCATTTTTTTTAAGAATTATGGAAAAAATCTTAAGAGACACACTTATATAGTATTAAATTAAAAGTTTTCCAGCATGAAAACTAGTGGCTTAATTGCTATTACTACCCAATTCATATTTTTGAGTTCGTTGAAGACTTCATCTAAAATTAGACAACTATAATTTGATAAAATAAGCATTTATTCTTGCTTGTAACTATTTATATTAACAAGTAACAATAAAAACTTGAACTAGTTTTGTTTAATGTAAATGAATTTTTTGAGGAAAAAATAAATAAATACTAGACTTTTCCATTGCAATAATTCAGTACAGAGATAAATTAATTTGCAGATTTGCACTATTTGATGAGTATCATACATAAAGTATATTATAACCTGTCATAGAATTTAAATTATTAAATCAATATATTCTACCAACAATATCAACTTTAAAAAAAGAAAAAAAAATCTAACTGAAACAGTGAGGTAGATGACTTAAATCTAAATGTAATACACAAAAGTATAATGATGAATAAAAAAATAGAATTAATTTGCTATAAAAAATAATTTCCAACAACACAATTCAAATTAATTTCAAAACACAAAATAATATTCCACTTTAAAATGACAAATTTAAAAGCAGTGAAATATTTAATATTAAAAACATGAATAAATAGATGTTTTCAGATTAGAGTTTAAAATTTACAGCAATTACCCTAACAACAAAAGAAAAACACACAAGTAAACTTTTTTATCAAATATGCTTGTGTAAAATTTGATTTAAAAGAAAAACTTTTGAATCAAATATATTTATCAGTATAATAAAAAAAAATAATTTTCATTAAAAATATTAGCATATTCTTTTTATTGTGAATGTATGAAATTACTATTTTTTTTTTTTTTTTACAAACTGCATGGAAAACTTTAAATGGTTTAAAATTCATAGATAGCTGAATGCTACAAAATCAATTAGAAAGCTACACGCATTCAGTAAGGACTTAACAATTTAGGAATTAATTAATTGTCGACAAAAAAATAAAATTTGATGTAACAACTCAACAAAAGTATAATTGGCAGTCCTTGTCAAATGCAATTTCAACAACCATATTCCTCAAATAAAAAGAAAAAAAAAACAAATACGAGTGAGTGTCTCCCATCACAGATATAAGATCACTGAAAATTCATACAACATTCTTAAATATGTTTTCATTATTTGCACAAGACGGAAAGAGGTTGATGACTTTAGTCAATAGTTATGGAAGAATCAAACTGAAACCTGTCATGAATTGCAAGTCCAAGCGAGAAATGTGATTGAAAATAAGTTTGGACAATATATTTCAGCAGCATCTTACCCAAGAAGATCATGAAGAATTTTAAAATAATTATGGAGGCAGAAATGGGAGAAATCTAATGAAAGAGCATATTTAATGAATATCCACATGGGAAGACGTTGTAAGAACTGAATAAGCTCATTACGTGAAGCACAATCACTGTCCTGTCCAATAGTATTTTTTTTATATAAAAAACGAAAAATAGCAATGATCCTTTTAAAGCCATGAAGTGCAGAAAAATTTACAAGCACAGTCAGAGTAAGAGTTTTAACTTTTTATGGATCACCACTAAGATATATGAGCATTTGTTTGAAACAATCACTTATTACAGTGACTAGTAAAAACATGACTGCATCTCACACAACATTATCTGTACAGCCTAGCAAATTCACGAACTACTGACTGCACATTCTTCATATGCTCAGCACTGAAATAAAAATAATAAAATTAATACAAAAATTAAATATACTTTTTTTACAATCATCATTTAGGTGTCTTTCATATACATTAAAATTCAGAATTAAACAGCAAAGGTTGGAAATCACAAAATACATTTCATGTGACTTACTTGACAATATTTTTATGGAATTCTTGTAGTTGGTCAGGAGTTGCAGTGATGGTGCCACCACTGCTTTGGGTGGGAAGCAATCTCAAAGCACTTTCAAGCCATACTTTGACCATCTAAATTTAGAACATTTGAAATAAATACATTATATACACTAGAGAATATTTATAATAAGAGTTATTACAAGGAACTGAATCCCAAACTAAGTTAAGTGGAATGTACAGAGCAGAAAAAAAAAGATAAAAAAAAAAGGATCAACCTCAATAACTTTTGATCTAATGATCAGATCTTTATGTTCTAGGATTTAATCTTAATGGCTAATTAATAGGGCAAAATATACTAATTAATAGGGACAGAGGATATAGTTTGGTTAGGAGAGTGCTCCAAAGTTTGGGCAACTTAATGTTAATTTAATTTTCTGGTGTATTACGTTATATCTTGAGAACTTTTTAAATCAAAATGAAAATTTTTCGCACATAGTAATAAAATTCATTTATCAAAAGATAATTCAATGCAAAAAATTACCTTTATTAAATATTTAGCATTTTTTTAAAAATAATAGTAAAAAAAAAATTGAATCGTAAGGCATACAATTATTCGCATCATTCTAAAGAACATAATTTTACATGGCAAAATAAAAAATTTGGGCAAAATCAGTTGAATAGTGATTTAAAAGAAACAGTACCAATTTTAAGTAAACCAGAAGTAAACTCATTTTTTATTTTAAAAGAAGTCTTCACTGACTTATTTCTGACCATTTTAAAATATTCACATGTACTTAGATCATGCTATTATTTAATCCAATTATAATTTAATTCGTTTGTTTATTCAAATGGAAAGCATGATGTAACAATGGATAGCAATAGTTGGTGACATTGTTTCCTTCCACTTAGTAAATGACTCAACTATTTTAAATTTTTTTCGTAGGTTTAGCAAATGATTCAGCTTCATTTCAATATAATTTTCTGCTTCGAAATTTGAAAATTTTCGTACTTATGATGTTCTCTTCTCAAAAATTGGTTTATTGGAAGGTAATTTTTGCTTATTTTATTCAGAATTTAATTCTTAATTAACTTTCATGTTCAGAGATGATTTATGAAGAGAAAAAATCTTATTATTTGGAAAAGACTAAACTATTTTCATGATTTGTCCTGAATTTTTGTACCATGCCAGGATACTAAAAAATATATCACATGTAAAGACTTTGATTCAAAGGCACCTGAAACATTTAATTTTTGCCTTATTTTAATAATTTAGAAAGTACATTTAGGTTAGGGGTGCACAACCTTTTCGAGTGAAGGGCCACTTGCACAGTAGGTAGATAAAGGAAGGGCCATGCGCATATTTAGACACGTTAGCGGCAAATATGATTTCTTTTACATAAATATTTGTATTCTAAGTACTAAATATTTTTATCCGTTAGCTTAATACCATATTTGCAGAAAATTAAATACTTTTTTTAATTATTTGAATTTATTTTTTTTTTTTTTTAAAAAAAAGATACAATTTTGTTAAAAACTTTTCCCATTTTTCCCCTTGCCTGCCGTCCCCCCCCCCACATTCCTTTTTTCCTCTCTAAAATGTTTTACTCTCCATGCAGGGACTAATTCTTAGTGATAAAAAAATGACTTTTTGTTTTAAAAAATTGAACTGAAAAAACGTTCCTATAAACTATATTGATGTTGAAAAATTAAGGACTTTTAAAAACATTGTACCAAAATTAAGCACTTTTAAGGGCCCTTATTTTCAAAATAAAAATTAAGCAGTTTTTAAGGACTGTTTTAAGTTTTGGGAGCCTTGCATAGATAAGAAAATCAATCAATGTACTTTTACTATACTGATTAATTTCTTATTTTTACTATACTGATTAATTTCTCTTAGACCAAAAAAAAAAAAAAATTATATCACTTTTAATATGACTGTAGAATATTACAGATTCTGCTTTCATTATCTATATATCTGCTTTCATTAACCTTTTCTCAATAACAAATGTAAAACTATTTCCAACATATAAATAAACATATTCATAAATTTCAGGTTAAATTATAACTGTTTGTTATTTCACAGTTTTAAAATGTTACTACTTACTGAGCTCTTAAACTGGGTTATTCTCTTACTAGGAATAATGAGAAAATTTAATATTGTAATTTGGTTTTTTATATAATAATTAGAAAACATTTTTCAAAGCCTGTTTTAAAATTAAAAAAAAATTTCAAAGAATGTTTTTTTTGTCTTTAAAATGTCATCTAAAAAACACAAAGCAGTTACAGAAACACAATCAAATAAAATAACTCACCTCTTTATCATAGAGAACTAAATCATATAAAACATCTGCAACGTTGGACAACATGTAAGTGGGTAGACTGAAAATACAGGCTTGCATTAGTGTATTCATTAAATTTTGCCCTTGTTCATTCAGAAGAGCTTTTGTCAGGGCTCTTCTTTGGTGAAATGAGGTTGCATCCTGCGTTCCCTAAAATTTGACAAAACAACTCTTGATTATCATTATTAGAACATTAAATAATTACTTAAAAGTAAAATAGAAAAAGGAAACACAAATATCAATACAGAATAGTGAGACAAAGTGCAACTAACATCAAGAGCAGTAATAAGAAACTTAAATGCTTTAAATCAAATACAAGCAGCTAATACGATGTCAAAAGAGTATATTGACATCGTTAGTAAGCTCAATATGTTAATATGGCTTCTATTATTTTATTTACATGTATTCTTCAATACAAAAGTCTTCTTTTTTGTTAAAATACCAGAGCTGACTTTTTACTCGTGGAAACTAGTTTTTGTCTTGACAGTGGCAGTTTTTAATAGTACTAGGCAATCGGTTATGTAAACTAAAAAACGTAACTTTATGTCAATGTAAAAACTTGATATAATTATTATTAATTAATAATTTAATATAAAAAAATGCTAAATTACAAGACCGAAATTTAGGAAGTAAAGCAATTGAATTAGTCATTGTTAAAATTGTTCCGATTTGAATTTTAGCCTTGTAATCTCCTAACTCATACAAAAAATCTAAAACAAGTTGTTAATCTAGATTTTTTTAAGCTTAACATCATTTTATTTGAAATAAAAAAGGAAAGAAGATAGGAATAAAATGGCCAACAAAACTAAAATAAATCTGTACTGTTACCAGCTATAAATGTATAAAACAAATGCTTTTAAATTTCAATGATAAATGCTTGAACTTACTTGCTTACTAGATTCCTGTACTCTAGCACCCTTAACAAAATCATGGAAAAATTTGGCTACAGATGTATTAGCATCTTTGTGGTCTAAGGTAATAGCGTGAATAGCACACTGGAGAATTGGTTTCATTATTGGACATTGAAGAATTGCTATAGGACACCACTGGAGGAATCTAATAAAAGTAAAGGAACAGGATAATGAAAAATACTAAAGGCAAGCTTTAAAATATTAGTGATAAAAAAAACTAAACATTTTCAGTTTCAACACATTAAAATATTCCAAGAACCATTTACGGTTGAGGAAAAATTGGTTAGTCTGATGTCATTAAATATTATCAGGTTTTAGCATTTTTTTTTCGTCAAATTATTTTCCATTTTCTTTTCTCGTGTTTTGTAACTTTAAAAATGTAGAAAGAGTACATGGCTTGCAATAATTAAGACAGAGCCACATGGGATCAAGAGCTAAATGGCAGAGTAAAAAAAAAATAAGAAGCAATAATCTGTAATTTTTAGATAAGGCCTTGTTCATTACATACATTATAAACGTTTAGATCAATACCCTGTGTGCACATTCACAAAAGTGCAGGCCATATTTTAAAAAATCAACTTTGGTTGCCACAACTTAAAAAAAAGTATATAAGAAAATTTAGCAAAAATCATGATGTAAAATATAATTATAATTAATTAGAGACCATTTAAACTAATGTTTACAAATATAACCTAGATAAGAATATTTCAAGAAATAATTGAATACTTAGAAATTTTCTTTGTCAACAGTCAAGATCACCAGAAAGATTCAACAAACAAAACAAAAATATTAGGAAATTTAAGAAACAAGTTCACCCTGAATCACATAAACATTAAAATTTTCTTGAGAACTAGAATGCGTTTTTTTGGTATTTGAAAGAAAAAATGATACCTAAATAATAAGAGAGTTCTCACAAACCTGGGCACTTATCTCCATGAAAAAAATACACCCACGTAATACTAATCAAAAAAAAAAAAAAAAAAAAAAAAAAAAAAAAAAAAAAAAAAAANAAACAAAAAAAAAACTGGGCAATTTTAAAGGTTACTTCACACACACACACATACATACATATGTTCTAGTTTTCAATGCCACTTTCCAATATCAGCAAACCTGCTTGGCGACACCAAGCAAATTTAAGGCAGCGGGTACGTTTCATGTTTTTCAGTGGTGCCATCGTCAGCCACATACATCTCACAGAGCATTTATAGGGCAGATCCATTCATACATCTACAGATTATAATTTTTACCAGAATCAGAGAACGATCAATCTCCAATTCAGTACCCCCTGTGGCATAATTTGTTATGGGCACAAGGAAGACAGTGTGACCAAACAGATGCAGCATGCACCAGTCACCACCTACTACATTGGCAGTCTTCAACCGATGAGGATCAAACCCACAATCTCTTGGACACGGTCCCAACGCCCTACCAACCAGGCTATCCCAGCCATATATTTATNATATATAAATATATATATATTACACACCCATTAACATGAACTATACATTAATTATTAGGCACAAAAATAATTCTATTGACAATGACCAACCCACAAATCTTTTACCATAATGAATAATAAAATGAAAAACAAATAATTAAATACATAAACCCGACAAAAAGACTATCATTTATCAAGCATAATACATACCTTGTGCATAATCGAAACAAATCATCTACTGTGTCAGGATAACTTCTCAAGCCATCGATTTTTTCTAACAATGCAAAAGTGGGACCACAAAATGCCTGAAAGAGAGAGAAGGATAAATAAATAAATAAAACTTTAAAAACATTTCATTCATAAAATATATTAATAACCTTACTTTTTTACTGCGCTAATTAATGTGATATGGTAGGGAAGAGTAAAATATTCAAATAAAGACTGCTTTACATGTTTTAATTTCATAAACGTTAATAAGGTTTCTTTGCATGAAGCAAAGTAGGAGTTGAAAGGCAATATCACAAGATTAATTAGTAACATAATAAATCGGAAACATTATTAGTTTAAAGCCTTGTATTTTGAATTATAATTAAAAACATAATAATGACAAAGAATAATATTAAGAAGAGATTATAAGCAAACATTACTGTTAAATAAGAAATATAGAAAAAAGTTACAAAATAATAAAGTTATAACTTTTATTAATTACATGCTTACAGATTTTGGAAATGCAAGAAATGGTAAGATCACAATAATTTTCTTATGATATATAGTAAATGATGTATAGTTTTATCATAGAATTGAGACTTCTAAAACCCAGAATTTTCTTTACTCCCTGACCGGGAGAAAAAGAGAGAATATTTTAAAAAACTACATGGAAATCCGTAGCAATAACTGTTGAAAAAACGAATAGAAAAACTGCAGGGATTTACAATAATATCGTAATGAATTGAGCATGTCAAAAAAAAAAAAGTTTACTGAAACATACAGTTTGAAATACTATTGTACTATTAAAGACATTGCTATTTTAAAAATTCTGTAGCAAATCCTACAAAAAAAAAAAGATCAATAAATTCATGTTAACCTATAGTATTATCGATATAAACACAGTATGGCCTTAAAAACTTATTACTCAAATACAATTCATATGCTAAATTAAAAACATTGTTATGATAAAAAAAACTAGAGTTGGTGAAAACAAGATTATTGCATGTGACAGGGGGCAAAGCCACATATAAACATTTTTAAGCACTCAAAAAAAAAAAAAAGAAAAAAAAGGANAAAAAAAAAAAAAAAAAAAAAAAAAAAAGAAAAAGAAAAGAAAAAAAAAAGAAAAGAAAAAAAAAAGAAGCATTATAGACATAAACAAAATGCAAAATAATTTTCAAAGACTTTACATGATCATAATAAAATAGCTAGTTTCTGGCAAAGAACATTTTTCCTGATTATATTAGCCACCATTAAAAATCAAAAGATTTTTTGGTTTGACTTCAGAGGTTCAGGTTACAAAATGAAGCCTGAAATGAAAATAACTTGCAAAATGCAGTAGAGTTGTATTTGAGAGTGCTAGAATCTCACCAAACCAATCTCTGTAGAAGCACACGCATCAAACATGTAAAATGATTGGCGCTTGCATACACTAAGGACCGAAGGTATGCCAAAATGGATTTTGGTTGAATTAATTGTGAAAACATTAAATAGAACAATGTGAAAACCTCATTTTTAAAAAGATATATTAAGCACTTTTTAAAATCTCCGATGGAAGAAGCACCTTTATGCACTTTTTAAAAACGCCACGCACCATGATGTGATTAGAAATTTGTGTGTTAGAATAATATTCTATTAAAAATTTAAAAACTATGAAGAAAAGAGTTGCTATGAATGTCAAAAACTGAAAAACATGACACGATTTTATCATCTTGAATTCAGATCTTGAAAAAAAAAGAGAGAGAAAAAAAAAAGGTTTAGAAATTCTTGTGTTGCAATATCATATCTAAATATCAAGATTTTAAAAAACACTAGAAAAATTATAGAGTTAATGAAATGAGAAAAAAACTATGAGGGTTTACGATGGAATCAAACACAATTTTTTTTTTTAAATTTTAATTTTCGTCCAGTAATTTAATCATATTTAATGGCTTAAAATTAAAATTAGGAATTTTTTGAAATCCTAACTTTAAAAAACCCTTGAGTAATCCAGAATTTTGCAGTTATGCTATATATATGTTACAGGCAAAGTTTGAAATCAGGCATTCTATAGTATGACCAATGTATGAAACGATTCATATTTTACACATTTTCTAGGCACTCTAGTGAATACTAATTGAGAGGCTGACATCTTCTCACTTGGTATTTGATATAATGCCTAGGAAATGTTTATATTACCTAGGAAATATTTATATTTCCTTACGTATTTTGAATTAATTTTTTTTAATGGCACTTTTATTATTTTTTTAGAATAACATTTGCAATTTTGAGAAATGCACACCATTTATATAATTGCAGTATCAGAATAATTTTTCATACTATGGATAAATAGCATTTGTCCTTTTAAAGAATGTCCAGGTATTATATAAAATGTTCAGGAAAAGTGAGTAATAATTTGATACGGTGTTTAAAAAACATTTGGCATTGTATACAATAAATACTTTGTTGGTAAGTATACATAATAATTGCACATGAAATTAGTTAATAGTATTTTCAAAACTGAAAAATTATAAGTACTTGTAACATATCTATTAATCCTGGTACACAACCAGGATCAGAAGCATATTCATCAACTAGAACACTTCCCAAATATAAAAAACAGGAATGATGATAGACTTGATATATCTGTACCATCTATAATAAAAGAAAAATAATAATTATAAGAAAGTCAAATAACTGCCTACATTGTTAAAAAAAATTAAAACACGCACACAACAATGCTCATTGTTACATGAATAAAAAAAAATGCAACCTATGGCCCATGGGCCAAAAGTGGCGACTGGAAATCTTTGATCCGAATCATGAAGAACTGTCATGAGTATTAATAAAAATATGTAATAGAATTTTTTTTCAGCCTCGTTCTGATCTAATTTTGGTCTTTCTTCTTCAGTTTTGGATTACATCTATTCCATTTTGTAAATCTTGTACATGGCAATGGGTTTAATGCTTCAGTTGATAAGCAATCTCTAACTAATTTTTGAAAATACAATTTTTTTTCTTGAGAGCTCTGAGTGTTAGCTCTAGCTTTTTCCTAACTTTCAAATGAGGCTGTTTTCCCCATATTGTTCAAGGGAAGAGCAGCGAGCAGCAGGAAAATTTCAGCACAGTGTCACGAAAGGGCTTTGAAATTAATTTCTTTTTAAGCATTCCCATATATAATAGTAAAATGTATCAAGAAAATTTTCCAAAATTTTTTAGTTAATCAAAATAATTCTCCAGAAGAGAGAGCCTTTAGAAATTCCCTCCATTAGACTTGACTAGTTGTGACCAGAAATTTTCAAATCTATTAAATATTTTGCAAAAACTATTAAAAGGATGCTATTGAAGTCCCCCCCACTTGTGTTAGAAAACTGAACCATAGAATTTATCGGTGGTTGAATATAAGTTTCTTTGCTGATAACTTATTTCACTAAGTCTAGATCTGAGGGGAAAAAAAAAATCAAATTTCAATTTTTTGAAATATTCCTTGTTTTATCAAACTATATAAACTAATTTATAAAAAATATTTGGCTTTTTGATGTCAAATATAGCTAGATATTGGGTTATCCTGATCATGTGAGGTTACTTTTTTTCTAAGGGGTCATTAAAAACCAGCTGCATGTAGCTGAATTTTCAAAATTTTTAGATAAAAATTTTGTAAAATATTGTTTTGTTACATGCCTAGAGTTTCAATAGAAATATAGCTATCTCTTGACCTTCTTTATTCCATTTTTTGAAGAGCAAGAGAAAATTCTTTCTTTAGTTCTTTCATTTTCTGTTTTTTTTCTTCTGGTTTACTTTCTTTTGTTCTTTAACATTTCTATAAGTACTGTTTATATAGATATGGCAAATAACTGAGAAAAATATGGACAATTAATTGAAACTAATATATTGTAAATGATACATCATGGATATTACATAAATCAACAAATGATTGCTATTGATTATGACACTCTTCAGCATAAAATATCGTCAGTTAACGTAAACAGGAAGAAAAAAAAATCAGGCCGTGATAGCCTGGTTGGCAGGGCACTGGATTCACGTTCATGAGAACAAGAGTTCGAATTCAGCCGGCCAAAGATTCCCTGTGTAGTAAATGCTGACTGGTGCATGTTAAATCTGCAGATCACAAAGTCTTCCATGTTCCCATAACAAATTATACCTTTGGGGGTACGGAATTGGAGAGTAATCATTCTCCAGGGTTCCCACTCTTTCAACAAAGCAAAAATTAAGGACTTTTTTTAAAAAAAATTTAAGGACCATAAAAATAGTATGATTGTTTATCATCGAATAAATATATACCTCCAGTGACAATGCCAATTATTTAACTTTCTTGAAAAAAAATCAATAAAAAAAAAACAATTTTATAATAAATTGTTTTAATAATTGTTTCAGGGCTCGCCAAAGTAAGAACCAGACAATTTTTGCAAACCCGGGTTGGGTTCTTTTAAAACATTTTCAGATTGTTAAAGATTAACGACATCTATAAAAATTATCTGTATTCCTTTTTTAATCATTTTATAGAAATTGAATTGTAAAATTAGGTGCAGAAATATATTAAAAAAAGAGTAGATAAAGAAATTTTGAAAAAATATTGAAAAAATTATTAAAACTTTTTATATTTCGCTACTAGACATGCACGACATACATATTCAGCTATGGGCCAATCTTGGTAAATATTCAATTATGCCAAAAAAATTATTTTTCTCTATTAACAAAATGTTTCATTTATAAGGGTATATAGTAATTAAAAAAAAATTAATACTAAGAAGTTGAATTAGTATTATGCATGAGAGTAGTTTTCTTAACTATGTCATGTCAAATTAAGTCCTATTTTAAATAAAAACGGGTCATACTAATATCTAAGCACCTTGAATCATTCCAATTTTTCTCGTTAGGCTTAGCTTAATATATATATATATTTTAAATTCACTGCAATAAATATTTTTATAAAATTTTTATAGAATAAAAATACAATTATGTTTAAGATTTATAATTTTCAAACTATAATGTTCTAAATATGTTTTTTAATAGTTCTCGGTGGAACATATTAATAATAGGTTCTAAAATGATTTTTCAAAGGTATCAATGTATTCCTATGGTTAGAAAATTGGTAAGGTTACTTAATTAACAAATCTTTATAAATTATCTATTTTTTCATAATTTATGGACATTTACTTGTAATATTTCTTTATCATCCTGTATAATTCTTAATATTATTCTCTAATATTATTATGATTTGATATTTTATTTTTATGGTGAATTAATAGTTTTTAAAAAATCTATTGAAAAATTTTATGAAAAACATATTGAAAGTAATGTGTAACTTAACCATTTTGAAATTATTCCTCAACAGCAACTGTGTTATTTTTACTTTTAAGATGAGCTTTACAATTATTTCCAGCCAAAACTGACATTAGGAATTTTTTTTAATATTACTAAACAATCTGACGAAAAAAATTTACTAATTTTAAAGCAACCAAAAGTTAATAGAAACTTTAAAAAAATATATAAAAAAGAAAAAAAAAGAAACAGTATATTAAGTTGCAATGCTAACTGAGAAAAATGATTATTAAAATCTAAATTTGAATTTTATTCCAATAGACATTAATAACAAAAAGTTTGGGATCTTTTAATTGAGTAGATTTAAATTTGTATGGAACAATCTGCTTATACTGAAGAAACAAAAAGAATAACAATCTAACTGCGTAACAATCTAAAACTTTAAAAAAAAAAAAATTTACATTGCAGCAAAACAAGTTATAAATAGTTACCTAACATGTAACTTTCTTGTTAGGAGCAAATCATGCATTATTTAGTACACAAAATTAAAAATTTAAAATATTTTTGAAAAAACTTGAGGTTTTTCTTCAAAAACTCAATAAATCTCAGGAATATAAAATCTAGGTGGGATGGGATTTTTTAAAACCTGCTTANTATTAAAATCTAAATTTGAATTTTATTCCAATAGACATTAATAACAAAAAGTTTGGGATCTTTTAATTGAGTAGATTTAAATTTGTATGAAACAATCTGCTTATACTTAAGAAACAAAAAAAAATAACAATCTAACTGCGGAACAATCTAAAACTTTAAAAAAAAAAAAAAATTACATTGCAGCAAAACAAGTTATAAATAGTTACCTAACATTTAACTTTCTTGTTAGGAGCAAATCATGCATTATTTAGTACACAAAAATAAAAATTTAAAATATTTTTGAAAAAACTTGAGGTTTTTCTTCAAAAACTCAATAAATCTCAGGAATATAAAATCTAGGTGGGATGGGATTTTTTAAACCCTATTTATTACATATCTGTCTAATTTTTAGTACAATCATGAATTTTGAAAAATGTTGCTGCTTCTTATAAATTTACAGTTACTTATTACGCTTTGAAATATTATACAAATTTATTTAATTCTTCCAAGATTTTTGGAATTAATTTTCGTTACAGATTCTAGTTCAAAACTTTTTTTTCTTCTCATACTTCTTTTCTTACGGTTTTACTTTATTCCTATTAGCTGATGCATTACCAATAGAACTGAATTTCGTGAATTCTGTCAATTTTGAAGGTCAGTGTGGGTCTCCCTTAGAACTGCCCCCCCCCAAAAAAAGCACCATCTATTCCATCTGCAGTATTTCCCTTGTCCACACTCTACTCTTTTCTTTTAGAATGTCACTCTTCTCATCGAGGATCATTCAAGGCAAAAGGCAGAATATATTAATGAAAGAACCAATATATTAATAAAAAGACATGCTTTCTTCTCCTTGCCTCACACACATCTCTTCTTGTCTCTCTAAAATGCTTTACTCTCCGTGCATGATCTAATTCTAGGTGATAAAAGAACAACTTTTTGTTTTAAAACATTGAACTGAAAAATTGTTCCAATCAATGCTGAAAAATTAAGCACTTTTAAGAACCTTGTACCAAAACTAAGTACTCTTAAGGGCCCTTATTTTCCAAAATAAAAGTTAAGCAGTTTTAAAGGACTTTTTAAGACCGTGGGAACCCTGTTATCTGGTTCATGTTAAAATTACGATCTGTGGATGAATAAAAGGATGTACGGGTCCGCCCTATAAACGGGTGTGACTTGTGGATGTGGCAGAATTTCTTGGCCATATATGGCGCCGCTAGAAAACAAGAAAAATCACACCCCTTGCTTTAATGGCCTATAATGACAACAACAACAACAGTGAAAAAATCATCAGAAGCTTTTGTGCTTTCCTCCTCCAGTATAGATTTTTTATTTTTTGGTTTGAGCAATTCTTCCGTACTACAGCTCTGAAAATTAACAGTCTTTATTCTGTATGTTTATATGAAATGTTAAAAGATTCAAAATTCAAATTCGTAACAAAAAAATTTTTAAACATCTTTTAGTGCGCATTTATTTGATGCTGAATGAGACAAAAATTTATAACTTTATTGAGAAAATTTCTTGCAACAAATAAAAAAAGTTAAATGCACTTTCTTCGAATGAAGTCAAATTTCCAATAAATTTAATAAATGAAGTAAAGCAATACATGTCATTTTATTTGAGGTCTCAATAAGTAAAATATCAAAAATCAATATTATTTCTAAACTTGAAAATAAAAGAGTCTTGACAAAGACAACTTGAAATGAAAACATTTTCATTAAAACAGTGCAATAAATATAAGATAGAAATTACCTGTGTCACTAAAGGTTCCAAAAGTGAAGCTGACTGTTTGCCCACACATCTCACCACAAACCGAACACAGCGGCAACACCTCTCCATTATTCTTACATCTGCTTGATATTTGCTACAAGTTTCAGATAAAAGAGGCCATATTTTTTCTACAACTGGCTGGCATGGATGTTGCTGCCCATTTGTAAGGGAAGGTGTTATATTTCTAAAAATGAATACATTTTAAATGGAATTTCATGCAGAAAAGACATTCAAAATATAAAAATAAGAATTTAAAAACAAGGACTTCTTGTCTTTAACAAAAGAATATTTTGATGAGAAAATATTCGGGAAATGTATAAGCGATAAAAAGATATACTACCTAAATATTGCAGCTAATCTATCTAACCAGATGGCAGGATCTGCTTTTGTCCCTTCTTTAATATTTTCTTTATCATCTTTTATTAACTAAAATGAAAAATGAATATGGTGAGTATTCTGGAGCTATGTAACAAACAATAACTTCATGGATCACAAAAATAGTTCAAAAATTAATATTAATATTGCACGCATAATCTTGAGTTTATCTGCAACTGATTAAAAAAAAAAAGTCTTCAAAATAATCTTATGGTTAAAATAGTTATTTTTATTTAATTACTAAACAAATATAAGATGTACAATTACTTAGTATTATTTAGCAGTCAATTCTAAACACATAGACAATTCTTTTTAAAGAAATTAAACTGCTCTCGATGGTCAAAATATTGAATGAAGGACTTTTAAGAAGAAAAATGAATCACAATTTTAAGTATAACCCAGTCACACAAAAGAACATTAATTTAATAGCCCATTCTAAATTGATAGAACAGAATATAAAATGTGACACTAGTTCAGATATTTTTACCCATTCTTATGATTAAAATTTCTGACCAAATGTTTCGACAAAAAAACACAGAAAAAGAAAATAATTCCGGTAAAAACAAAAATTTTGAAAATGCTCAAAAAGATTTTTAATATTTTAATAAAGAAAACAGTACAGATTTTATCAACACTTACCAGAGATAACGGTAAAGTTTGAGTTTGGCAAAGTTCCATTAAACCTTCAGTAATTTTATCGTGTGGCAATTGACCAAGGATAAGAGCAGTTCCTAGAACATAAAATTTGCAATGTAATGAAAATATAATTGCCTTATCCCAATTGTAAGAAAAACACAAATTGAGAGCTTTAATTAGAATTAGAAACAATTAACTTTTGTAAGATCACAATAGTATTGGAAGTTCAAAAATAATAACATACCCTCCAACTTTGCCTACCTAGCCATCAGTAGCACTCGCGCAACACACATTTACGGCATCCCGCAATATTTGCTATGCTCATATTGATACTTAATTATATTCACTTATAATTTCAAAATGCAGTTGATAAATATAAGAAAAATAGATTTTGAAACAAGCGTAAAATGTTATTTCACATTGAGAAATTTTTAAAAAAATTAAAATGCCATAGACTTTTAAAAAATCATGTTATTTAGATAGTACAATTTTAATTCACATACAGGAAGGTACACTTTTCTAAGGCTATAAAATTATTAAATTGCAAATGAAAGTTTATTGTACATTTATACAAATTTCAAAGAAAAATAATATAACATCTCAGTAAAATGCAAAAAGTGAACTCTTCACAATTTTTTCTCTACATTCATTCAATTGTTACCAAAATTTTTTTTTACTTATTTTATTTAGGAAGGTCAGATTCTAAGATGTTTCCTATTAAATATTTTTTACACCAAATTTTAAAGCAATTATATCAAGAAAACAATTTAATACCAATTTATTGAAAGAAAAATGGATTATATAAATGAGTTTCTTCCTAATAAAACTTTCAGAATTAGAAAACAATATTTAAAAACTTATATCATCTAAAGCTTACACATTAAAATTTATTCTTTAAGAGTAATGAATTTGTATAGACATTAACCAATAGCTAAATTGTTTCAAATCTTTGAATTATTTATTATAATTAAGAAGTAAAAGCATTAATTAAGAAATCTAATCTATAAGCAAATCTGACTTTAATTAAAAATACCCTTAATTACAGAAACACAGTATCTAAACCGCTTTATGCTTTTTCAGTGATGAATAACAAGTATTTTTTGCTCTAACTCATCCTCAGTAAATTGTGCATTGTAACAAACTTCCACGCTTAATTTAGTGATTAGAATCGATTCTAATGTTTTGGTACTCAGACTCGAGCGATTATCAGTTTGATTTTAACGAATCATGCTAAAAATTCTCTCAGATCCAGCATTACTATGGGGAATTGACAGAATTGAAAGCATTATTTTTGGCAAAGCCACATATCTCTTTATTCCATTGTTATCCTTTAACTGGCTAATTTTCTGCCATGCCTCATCTACTCTGGTATGATTTAAAATTTCAGAAGGAAAATTGTCTGCCTGAAAAAAGGCAAATTCTAACTCAAGTTGATCAATGTCAATACCACAATTAAACAAATCATAAAAATACTTAAGAGATGCAAAATTTGCATTCTGCCTCTTCAAAATGTTTGCCACAGAAGCATGCTTAAGAAAATCATCTTCTAAAGGAAACTTTTTGAGAATATATTCACATGCAGTGGCAAAAAACTTTCGCACTGCCAAAAAGAACTCAGTTGTATCTTCTGGCATCAGATCACTCAAAATAGATCTAGCACTTGATCCTATTATAAGAGACTCATCAGGTTTTTGATACTTAGGTTTCTGAAATTTCACTTGTAACAGAGAAGACTTGGATTTGCTTATGGTAGAAGGCGAAACAAATCGTACAAGAAGCTCATAATATAAGCTCATTAAATCATCATACAAAGTATGGATAGAAGGTTGCTCTTTTTGCAGGGCAACATTTACCTTGGTGAATACAGGCAATATCGATGTAACAAAAACACAATATATCTTTGTTTTGTTTGATTTAAGTAACTCTTTTATTTTTTCTGAGGTAGCATTCTCTTTAACATCAGATTGTGAAAAAAAAATTAGCAATGGGTCCCACTGCTCAACTAGTCTCTTTAGAGAATTTTCGAAACTTAACCACCGAGTTGAAACATGTTTTAAAATCTTGTGAAGTTTCACATCACATTCTATCTGACAGTTTTTAAATTCATACTTTCTTTTACTACTCTTTTCAAGGTAGTAAAAAACTTTTATCGCCAAATTCTCCACATCAACGGGCAATGATGCTGTAGCTTTTTGAGCTGCTAGATGAACCAAATGACAAGGGCATCCAATGAATTTTATATTTGGTTGCCTCTGTTTTATATAGCTCAAAACACCTTTATTACATCCAGCCATTGTGTTAGCATTATCAGAACTGAATGCTATGCAACTCTCCCACTTCAGTCGATATTTTTTAAACTCTCCATCAAGAAGTTCAAAAATTCCCTCACCAGTGTTGTTAGTTGATTCAGATAAAGAAACCAGTGATGATACGATTTGTCCTTTTTCTTCATCATAATAATTAAAAATTAAAGATATAGCTTTTTATCTAATATGTCATTGCTTCCGTCAGTGGAAAGAGAAAATAATGATGTTCTGAGCTTACTTAGAGTACTCTCTCTTATCCCCTCAGCAGTGGAAACAGTTATTGCCTGGGTCTTGGTATGTCCACATCCATACTTTTTTGCAATGTCGGAATCTGGGAACATTTTTTTAAATAAGGCGCCAGAATGATCGGAAGCAGATAGAGAAATATTGTGCTCAATTAAAAACCGTACGAACAATACTTCAGCTTTAATCACACCATTTTCTTCTAATTTTGAAGAATAAAAATTGTTAATAGGTTGCTGATGCACCTGTGCTTTTGCAGTAGCACAATGTTTAGGACCGATCACGTGTCTGTGACAATCATCCAGTCCACCGTGGACAATAGAGAATTCCGAATTACAAATAGTGCATTTCGCAAAGCCTTCTTTTCCCGATACTAAACAAGGAAACTTTTTAATATATTCCTCTCTAAACTTTTGATTATTCTTCCTCTTCTTTCGTAATCCATCCTCATTAGAAACTTCCCGATCCTGATTAGATCTTTTCAAATAACGATCTATCACAATGAAATTTAATAATAAATACACAGCTTAAAAACTAACGCGATAAAAGCTGGATGAAAAATAATCTAAAATTTCAAACAAAAACGTATCATTCTTTCAACTTCGGAGCAGCAAAATTCAAAGTTGTTTTCAAAATTTGTTATTGAAGTCACTTCACTTCACAAGGTGTAAAGCAAAAAACTAACGCAGTTTCTCAAAGAACAGCTGCTTTCAGGCAGATTACAATGGCGCCGCCAATGAGTAACCCTTCATAATCACGTGGTTTCTCCCGACCAAGGCTAACAACTCATGACGTCATTTTCGGCGATACGCAATCAGTGACGTCACCACGATTGAAAGACGACAACAGCGGAAGCGGATAGATCGGATAGGCGCTTTTGTTTAATCCGTAGTATTTTACTATTTACCCGTAGCTCCGTAGTTTACCTCCAATTTCCATAGCAACTACGGAAATTCCGTAGCAGTTGGAGGGTATATAATAAGCAAAACCAATAGATCTAATACATTAACATAAATTATATCCTTAAACCGTTTTTGTTACAATATAATTAAAGTACAAACTAAATAAAAGAAATTAACTATTTAGTCTGAAGTGGATAAAAATAATTACTTTTTTTAATTATTTAATATTCTCATTTCCGTAGTAAAAAGTTACATATTAAATTCGAATTTTAGAAATTTTAATTCATTATTTGCCGGGCAAATTAAAAATTTCACAGAGAAAAATATTACTAGCATTTGTAATTTATAATCAGTCATCTAAACCTTGTAAATATTTACCTGTTTTGGCACAGATCAGGACTTTGCTCTAACATGAATTTGTCATACACAATCGGCAAATATTAATTTGATGCACACATGTCTGAGTTGTTTAATTAAACATTTTCACCAGAGAAGAATTTACAGTTAAAAGTTATATATTAGATGAAAGAAGTNTAGAAGTCAAGGTCACCTTGATTGGAATGTACACTCACTGATAAGAATGTGAGAAAAATTTAGGGTGTGGTGGGAGAGTTGAATGTAAAAGATTGAGCAGAAAAGAAAGACGGTGCTTAGAATTTTCTTGAGTACCGTTTATCGGCCCCCCTCTATATCACGCCGATTTTCGTCAAAATTAAGGGGGGCGCTTTATCGGTATTTTACGGTAGCATTTGTAATTTATAATCAGTCATCTAAACCTTGTAAATATTTACCTGTTTTGGCACAGATCTTGACTTTGCTCTAACATGAATTTGTCATACACAATCGGCAAATATTAATTTGATGCAATTTGAGTTGTTTAATTACACATTTTCACCAGAGAAGAATTTACAGTTAAAAGTTATATATTAGATGAAAGAAGTAAAAAAGGCTCAGGCTTAATAGCCTAAAAATTCCCACTCAGTTTGCGAAAAAAAATTCCCTGACTTTTCCAGGTATACCAGGTAAATTTCAATGAAAATTGAGACCATATTCTCATCAGAAAACTTTGGTTCTTTTATTTGTTTTGTGAAATATTAGATTTTGTGTGTAAAATGTGAAATTTTTATAAAAAATAATGTAATACATGTAAGAATTATTTAACTCGAATCTCAGTAACTGATTACTGTTAATGACAATTTTAAGACTGGTTATTTTCCAGGTATGATATAGGAATACTCAAGGTTTTTGTCAGAAAATTGCAACTTTCCCAGACAATTCCAGGTTTTCCCTGCTCTCCCTGACCCGTGGTAACTCTGTAGATCACTTGATAATAATAACATTGATAACTTGAATTATTTGTTGTAGCCATTTAAAATGAGCAACCACTTGCATTTCATAATTATTTTAAACATTTGGTATCTTTATCATGATCTAAAATTGTGGCTCTTTGATAAACTAATGTTTAAGATCTAAAGTATTGATTAGCATTTATTTTAACAATTTGACTACACAATAATATGGTCGAAAATGTAATTCTCAGCTGAAAATTGTACATTTATTTCTTTGATGACAACACAAAGAATAATTATTTGTGCTTAGCATACTTATATAGGAAGATTCCAATTGCAAAATGTCATTAATGAACAAAAATAAATTCAAGAAAAAATATTTTTTAATATATAAGCCATGTTAGTTGATATGGAAAAATTAAATATAACTTAATTCACATTCCAATGAAATCAACATGTTTCTCTTAACTGACATTGAACAATAAATTTAAAAGAAAAACGAAGATAACCTTGCAGGTTAATTTCACACATTTCTACAATATTAGGCTTAGATTAAATTTACAGTTTGTCTTTGATATGATAAGCAAGTCGATAAGCAAATCTATAGGAAAATAATTCCTTACAAGTTTATATTCTATTTATGAAAATATTTTCTCAAGTTTTTAGACAATATCCTCACAAGAGAACAAAAAAAGTAAACAAATCTATTTATAATAAACCATAAAAAATTACCTTTCAATAGCCCAACAGCTGCATCATTTGATAATGAAAAAGTATCCATAGCTTCAATAATTTGTAATAAACCTTTCAGATGAGCAGCCATTTGAATTTTACAAGTAGAACAGATATTTTGTAGTGCTGTAGCAGCAATGGAAGATAATGTCTTCTTTTGCAGAGACAAAAGTAAAAAATTCAATACTGGGTCTGAAAAAAAAAAAAAAAAACCTCAGCCAATTAACTATTTTTCTAAAGTTTACATAATAAATTTAATTGAACAATGTCATAGAAGCATTATAAATTCCAAACAAATAAGCGAATATTTTTTATTTATTTTGCAAAACTTCAAAAGACCATACAATATTTAACAAAACATTTCATAAAGAAAAAAAAAACTAATGGCTTTAAAACAGTTGAGCCTTTAGTGCATGCAGCAACTGTTCTCCAAAATTGACTAGCTTTAGCAATTACTGAGAGCTGAAAAAATTTATTTGAATAAATTTTTCCTTATCTTTTTAGAGCAGAAATAAATTAAGGTACCTATTTGGATCACAAATCTTGCGTTCTATTTTTAAAATTAGAAAAAAATTTACAAATGGTAAACATATTTCTACAACTTTGAAAGAATATTGAATACAAAATAGTTGAAAACTAATAAGATCATTTAGTTTTTGTTGATTAATTAAATAATTTTTAGTCAGATAATAGATTCTGGATTTCTCTACAATCAAACCCTACTTACTTAAAACACCAAGAAATTTAAAACCAAACTGAGTTTTAAATAAGAAACAATGTAATGCTTAAAGCAGCTGGGAACCAATTAGCTCAAAACTATTTAAATTTATGTGAAAAAAATTATAAATATAAAATTAATAAAATACAACTATTTTATATACTAACCTAAATATTGAGGATGTTTTTCAATCCATTCACAAAGTTCACCTAGAAGATATGTACTTGTGTATCTCACAGCCACATGGCACGTTTCAGGTAAATTTAATATAGCTTCAACTACTTGAGGAACGATACAATTTTCTTCACTGTAAGGGAAATAAAAATAATTTTCTATATTTTATTACCAGATAAAAAACTAAACAAACTGAATGCTTCATTGATAAAATATTAAGCTATTGATGCTTAATTTCAGAAAGAACAAAATATATAAGGTAAGAACCACTTAGAAATTCTTCAAAAATAATTTAAATTTAATCTTTAACATACTTTGAAGGAAGAACATAGTACTTAAAAGTTAAAGCTAAAACATATGAATAGCAAGATACAGCACTTCTACCATTGCCTATATGAATTTTATTATATGTAGCCATGATATGTAGGTCAACATAAATTAGACAAGCCTGTAATCGTGAAAATACAGCTCATATAAAGTTTTGTTTGAAAGTATGAGTAATTTAAATGCTAATAATTTACAACTTTTATTTTTATTCAGTTGCAGATAATTGAAATAAATTAGGTTTTTTAACTAAATAATCATTTAATTCAAAATAAATTTAAGTGGTATGATTATAATACCAAATTATACAATAAATTTCAGCATACACACACACAAAAAAAAGAGATTCATTTATCTCATTCTTAAAATTAACTTTATTTAAGAATATAAAAATATTGCTATACAAAAAATGTAATTGATTAATGTGATACTGGTGATTTTAAATTTCAAAACTATATTTTTTTAAATTTATACTTACATGTTTTTTTTATATAGGAATTTTATTCTTCATTTATTATTTTTTTTTCATTTTGCACAAATTCATAAGAAACTCAGTTTCATTGCAAACACTGAACCTATTGTCATCAACATAAGTTACTAAACAAAAGTACTAGAATTCAATTTGCCTAGACAGATTGAACTATATCATTAACTTACTATCACAGAAAATGCCCAAAATAAAATCTTTTTTTCTTCTTCCTTCATACTTTTACAAATAATATGAGACAGTTTAAGGGGCAAGTAAAACGAACACGTAAACAATTTTTGGCCAGCTGGCCATACCTTGGGCATCTCTGACAACAGAGTAACATTGTACAATACAAAAAATAAATATGGGAGTTTAAAATAATTATGAAAACCAATCTTTGATACCAATAGAGAAAATTTTTTGCCTTGAGATAATTTAAAATAATCAGAATTTTATCATCAGAATTTTATAATCAGAATTATTTACATTGCTGATACATTGATGTTACTTTCTGTATTAATTTTTTTGAGTTTCAACTTTTGCCTCACTCAATTTGACAAGGTAATATTTCAGTAAACTTTTTAAATCTTAACATGATATTAGGCCTTGAACTCACTATCTCTGTTTACGACAAACATAAAAACTTCAAACTTGAGTTGCTCAGTTGACAAAACTATTAGTTCCATCAGTATTATTAAAGAGCTTGGAGGCATTATTATTGATTGCAGTCAAATATCTTGGAAAATATACATCAAATCAAAAAAGTGAAAAAAGATGCAAGAAATTTTTTTTAAAAGTTATCCACTGGTACCAAACTCGATCTTCCGAAATCACCCCCGGGCAGGAGACTTTGAAAATCAACCCCTATTATTTATGTATATTAGCCTAGTATTATGTTATACAATCCCTATCATTATTAATATGCATAATCTTGTTTCAAGTCGTATTTGATAACCCATAAAAAAATCTGATTTGAATATCTTGCAAATTTAATAAGACTCTAGCGAATTTCAAAGTAGCATTTGTAAGCTTGGAAAGAGAAAAAAAAAGATTCGAATGGTAAGGTTTTTTTTCCGAAATTTTATTTTGCACTTTTAATAAGATTCATTAAAAATGATATTCATTATATAGGATATGTGTTATATAAGACCGTTCCATACTAAATTATGCTTTATTTTCTTGCCTTTACCATCTCATTTTTCTGTCAGGACCATCATTTTAGGGCATTATCATTTGTGATTCAATCTTTTTATATGATGCAAAATGAAATTTGTGGAAAACCCCATATCATTTAGAGATTTCAATACATTACAAATGATACTTAATGAAGTGCTATAAACTTTTTACATATCCCAGACATTTAAATCAGACTTTCTTCATAAGTTACCAATTACAATTCAAAACACAATTATTAAAACATTGTTCATAAATGTTTTTTATGCGAATGCACAGAATGAAAGGATTACTTTAAATATTCAATCCTGCACAATTTTTAACTAATTTTTTCAAATTTTAAAATGGTATTTTTATTATTTAGTATTGGTTACAGCATTTAAAAATTACTTTAAAAAGTTTACTTTTATTGAATATTTCTGCAGTTAGAGTAAGAAAACATAAGATAAAAAAATTGGTTTTAATATAAATATCCATTTCTCTATAAATATTTAAGCTAGGTTTACAAAGTTTTGTACAGATATTGCATATTATAACCAAAGAAATTGATATAGTTACAAGCTTATCACTATATTTTTTGGCATAGGGTGCTCAAAACATAATTTTTTGCTTATAATTTATTGCTGGTCCCTCAAACCTCTAAAAGCTTTAAACATTATTGATATGTATTTGAAATCACATGAACTAAACAATTCAAAATAATTCTCTAAATATTTCTATAGAAATATAAAAAATTGTGTAAGTATAAAAGAATTTCCATAATTATGCCCAATCCCAGTATATATCAAACATTACTACACACATTATCAAACTCTACTGATAAAACAACTCTACTATCAAACTCTACTTTTTTCTATTAATAAAATATGTAATTTTAAATTTTAACTAACACTTCATGCATTATTACTTTTACAACAAATTATTTTCCTTGACCTTTAAAGTAATTAAAATAGAAAACATACATAACACTAAGTTAGAATAAAAACAAAGAGTAATTACTTACGGTACAATATTTTTGGCAACAGCTCCCATAATAAATAATGAAGCTTCTGATGCATCCCAAGAAGCTAAATTACCTTGACAACAAAGATTTTCAAACATCTAAAACACAAAATTACCTTTCAGCTGCATTTATCTAAAGATTCACCTTTTCAGTACTTAAAATTATTGGGTGAGTTTTTATGAACACTTTTTTTTCACGTTACAGTAAAAGTTTGGTACTAATTAACAACAGAAAATTTATATTTGTAATTTTAATACATATCAGTGTTCTAAAATAAACTTACAGCCCCGTATTTCATAATTTTTAATTCACTAGGAACGCTGTAATTGCTACTAATTTTCTTCTTTTTTTTCTAAACTTTCTGTAAAAACACAGAACAGTTTGTTTTCAAAATATTTAATTAATTTAGCTTTATGTAGGAACAACTTAACATATTCATAAGGAAATAGATGCATAATTAGATATAAAAAATAATCATTTGAGCTTGAAAAGAAAATTAATCTGAGGAATGTATATTGTGTCGCACAATAAGAAGAAATAAAATATTAGCAAAGCTTATTTTATTCGCTGCCGAAATTTATTACAATTCAGACAGGGAATGGTTTTTGTTGCTCTTTATGAAGTTTCTTATTTTTAAAAATTTCACTAATGTTAAGATTTATATCTGGCAACCAGTAATCTTTTTCTTTCTTTCTTTTATTGCCATGTTTGATTAACATCCATTTGAGCGTGTACTCATAAAATGAAGAAATTAAGATCTCATTTTCTACAACAATAGACAAATAGTCTACATTTAATAAAAAAAAGCTGAAAAAATTAAGAAAAAGTACTTCAATTTGCAATAAATTTAGAACAAATTAAAATTTCAAAACAAAATTTGTGTTAAGTTCAAAAATAAAAATGGATATTTCTGCATTTCAAATCTTTTCAGCAGTTAGACTTTATTCTAATAAATATACTTGATTGTGAAAAGCTTTACAAGTAAACACATGTTTAGGTTAGTCATAAAATCTTTTTACTAAGATTATTTTTTTGAGCTGAGACATGGATTTACATCTATTTTTGAATATTACAATTTGACTAAAAATATATGCTCAGGTAGGAGCAGTCTAAAATGTGTGCAAATAGAAAACTATTATCAAATTTGTATTTTAAATGTGACAAATACCTGTTGGAAACAATTTGAAGAGCCTATTATAAATACAACATCTTTAATAAGGTCAGATACACGTCGACGGAACTCACTAAAATCATCATTTTCATCAGGTACTCCTTCCTGACAAGAGGGAAAAAAGAACAAATTGCAATTGTATAATTGTTATATATGAAAAATACATATCTAATGTATTGTTTATTTACTTCCAATTTTTTAAATATAAATCAATTACTTGATTATTGTTTCAAAAAGACAGCTGATACGTAAAATATTATACATTTAATTTTTATTAAACGCACAATAACCAACTCACATGATCCGAGTCTAGTTGACAATGCCTACAGAGAGCAATAATCAATCTCTGAATATAAGGTTCAAATATCCTATTTAGAGCATCATCATTTTTCTTATAGAGCAGTTCTGACAATCGATACCAAACGTTAAAAGTTATTTCAGCCACCTTAAAGAAAAAGAAAATAATTTAATAAAAATAACATAGGTAATAAAATTATCATGTGAAAAAATAAAAACAAAAAACGATGATTAATGGAATATTTTTTATAGGAAATGAAATGAAAACAAAAAGTTTAAAAATGTATGTCAATTCTCAAATCTCTCACAAAAAAATTTCAATTCTCAAAATTTGCGAAAGTTAACCTCAAATCAATTATGTTTATTATGTCAGATATACGATTTTGTGAAATATCTAATATGACTCAAAGAAGATAAATTCAACTGAACAGTGGATTTTTTTAAAAAGAAAGCTTGTAATAAATAGATGTCATAATTTATGAGGCTGCTTATTTTAGTGAATTTTATGTGTATTTATGTATAATGTGTGTTTTTGTGTATTTAGCTCATTTTATGTGTATTTTAAAACTATTCTTCGAAACAAACTTCATTAAAGACTTTCTTTTTCTATGACTTGCTTTTTTTCTAAATTTGTAATCTGTTTTACCTCAGTTTTTCAATGGAAAACAAAATAAATAAAAATATTCCTAATTTTTGAAACAAAATAAATTTTTTTTAATAGTTCCAGATTTTCCATGTTCTTTAAGACTTGTGCAAACTCTATTATAAACATTATGAATTGTTTCATATTCTACAAAATGTTACTTTTTCCACACCAGGCTCCTCAATTAATAAAGAAATTGAAGAAATAACATAATGAATGTATAGAATCATTACATATAAGAAATCTAAAATTAAAACTTTCAATAAGATCATAATAAAAATAAGGGATAGTACTTACTAGTGGGATAGTACTTACTTGGTGCATGACCATTCAAAATTTCCCATATAAAAAAACTTGACATTTGAAAAGCATAGTTTTACATTTACATGATACTTACTTGAGTAGAAATAATTTTCTCAAATTTATACATGTTTGCAGAAGTCTATTTAAGTTTTCCTTTTGTTTTTGCAAATTTGTAGAATTATAATAACTTGGAATAAGTAATTTTTTGAAATTTCAATTGAAGTAAAAACTTACTAATAAACAGGCATAAAATGCCCAAAGCAGGACCATAATTTAAAATTGTTTTTATTTTCATTTGACCCACACTTCCACTTCGAAAACTTTACACTATTTTAGAAGAATCCATATAGGGTGCTTTTTCTTAGAGGCATTATAGAAAACAAAGAACATTTTATAGTCTTGTATTAATTTGGCTTAAGGGAGGGAGAAAAAAAAAACAGAAAATGAACAATACTGACAGTATTGTGAAATGAATTCAAAAATCACCTAAAAAATCAAGCATCTATATTATATAAAACGCTAATACGTATGTATCAATAAAACCGATGATATTTCTTTTCTCGCGTTGGCAACAGTTTTCATTTTTAATTGATGGGCTTCGGCGCGCAAGAGCACGTAGTGAGCATAATATGGCTAATCTATATTATATAAAACGCTAATGCGTTTAATTGATAGGCTTCGGCGTGCAAGAGCACATAGTGAGCATCATATGTCTAATCGGGTGAATTCTCACAGAATTATCAAAAAAATTCTCACAAAATAATCTTCATCGAAGCCGATGCTTTACATCTGGCTTTCAGTACTATTTCATACGGTTTTACAACACATGGTTTTAGCCCTCTGGTGGGAAAGACTTTAAAACAAAACTTAGAACAGTTACTTTTCGCAACAACTGAAATTTAGAATAGTGTGATTAAGAAAAATATACGAACTGTTTGCAATTTCAAATTAATATTGAAATGCACAGGTTTAGAATTTTCTACAGTGAAAAGTTTTCGGAACTTCAGTGTTCAAAAAAGTATACAAAAGCTAGACGTTAAGAACGTATCCAATGAGGGAGCAAAGCGAGCATCGGATTGCGAAGCAATCCGGAATAAACTGCGAAAGCAGTTCCGGGGGTTGGCGAGCGAAGCCTCCTAGTATAATTGAAATCTTTAACAAAACAATCAATACCTTTTTATTACATACATTTTCCTTCAAGGATGAAATAAAGTAAAACTTTTTAAGTTGACAAAGTTTAGCTTGGTTAAACAAATTAAAATTATTATTACTATTTTGCAGAATTTTTCAACTTTATACATTTTGTATGGTAATGTTTTGTTGTTTTAAATGCATTCCTGATAAAACTTTTATTTTAAATCAATTTACAAAGAACAATTAAATACACAAAAAACTTTATTGTTTTTACGATGAAACAAAGCTAATATTATAAAGAATATTTTACTCACCTCAAAATCATGATGGCCAACACACATTAATAAAAGATCTAAAGTTTGTAAACTTCCAAAACCCTAAAAAATAAGCAAAATATTTAAGGAATGACATGTATTTATTCAAAAACGATGAAATTTTTTTTTTTAAATAAATTAAAAAAAAAAAAATTTTGAGAACTTTTCTCTAACTACTAACACTAACGTTTAGAAAAAGTAAGATTGTTTCGCAAAATTTGCCTCGAACTTAGTTTTTGGTCAAAAAATGAAAGGCTAAAACTAACTACAACATTCATGTATAAAAAGATAAACAATTAAAACTAATTTGAAGCCTATTACTTTAATGAATAATATGAAAATATAATTACCTCATTAATTGAGCTAGGTCTTTTAATTTAACCGTCATTTTTACGTATTTAGTTACATGTATATTTAAAAAGAATCAAATGTTAATAAAAATTTCAACAAGTAAATTATCTATAACTCGGGAGAAAGCTATGTTGTATTACAATCAATGCAAAATATTAGGTAACTGCAATATTAAAAGCTCAGCAGCTTTAATTATGAAATCAATAAATCAAAATATGTACGCACAACATTTGGGGATAAGACCATTTCTTCCAGGAATGATTCTGCAAGCTCAGTAAATATTCGACAATAGTTAACAGACCTAGAGGAAAAAGTTACATTTATAAATAAATTTGTAACAGATCAAGATTAACAGGGTGCATATCCAAATTATTCGCCAAAAATAAGCACCTTTTAAGCACTTTAAAAAAATATAATAATTAGGCAGGGTTGGAGAGTTTTGGACAATTGACTGTTTTATCTTGTTTTAACTGTCATTTCGAAAAAAGACTTTTGTTATTGTTTTGACAAAAATCATGAAATTTTGAATCATGTAAANGATCAAGTTTAACAGGGTGCATATCCAAATTATTCGACAAAAAATAAGCACCTTTTAAGCACTTTAAAAAAATATAATAATTAGGCAGGGTTGGAGAGTTCTGGACAATTGACTGTTTTATCGTGTTTTAACTGTCATTTCGAAAAAAGAAAAAAAACTTTTGTTATTGTTTCGACAAAAATCATGAAATTTTGAATCATGTAAAACGAATTGCGTTTTCATACTCTACGGACTGACAATACGCCAAAATAGATTGGGGTTGAATTAATTGCGAAAATGTTGAATTGAACAATGTGAACAGTGTCTTTTTGCATAATTCGTAGCGAAAATCAACATGGTGAAGGAAAAATCTAATTTCGAAAAAGGGAAAATCAAGCACTTTTTAAAAACACCCAATGAAAAATGCACCTTTAAGGGCTTTTAAAAACTGGAAATCGAAAATAAGCACCTTTTAAAAATGCTACGCACCCTGATACAAATAGGACATGCCAAGTTTAGGAAATTTATAATAAATTATCAAATAAATAATTTTAGGATTCATAGCTTTTGTGAAATAATTTTAATTCCTGATATTCTTTCAAAGATTTAATTATGATAATTTATAAATAAAGCAAAAAGAGAAGTCATTTATAAAAAAATATAATAACAATAAAATGAAAAATATTTTTTTGGTCAGAATAATGAGAATAAGAATAAATAAGCATAATTTATTATCTATTTTAATCATTCAGAATACAATTTCGATAGATGTAAAGAGGATACCAAGAATTTTGATTCAGTTAGCAGTAGTTATCTGATTCATAAAATGAAAACAATTGAAAAAATAATAATTTAATACTGAAATAAATAAAAAGTACTTTATGCTTTAATATTAAATTTTAAAAAAAAATTTAATCAATTTAGTACAGTTACCAGTTCTTAAATGATTTCGATTCAATCATTGAAAGAATTTTAAAGGTTATGCTACTTTGAATTCTGAAAAACTTTCATAAAACAGTAAGGTAAAAAAGTTCAAATATTTTCTTTTTTTAATGTAAGACTTTTATTAATCAAATATTATATAAACTTTTTCAGCTTAAATTAAGATTTTAAACTAAATTCATAATTTATGCAAAATTAAGGACTAGTAATGAAATATTTGCAATCAAAATTTAACTTCTATTTAAAAAGTAAATAATAAATTTTAAAAAATGCACTAACTGGTAGCACAAAATTAAAAAAGAAAATAGTCCTTTCCAAATGAAATATGACTGGCAAACATATAACAAAATAAGATAATATAACAGTCAAAGACATTGCTCTATTAGAGAAAGTACATACTTATCCATATCTTCATGAGCTACAGATAAATTGTAAGCATCTACAAAAGTATACACGCCTTGAAATAGTATTGCAGAAAGAATTTGATGAGGCTGTATATCCTAGAAAAAGAAAAGAGATATATAAAAATTAGCAAATAAAAATTAGCATTAGCATTATTGAATATAAAAGAGGTTATAAGTACTTGTAGAAACTCGATTTTATGGCACAATTGAGACAAGATCTATTTCAAATAATCAAAATTGAACTTTATTTTTATCAGTAAGCTCTGCAAATTGACATTTTTTCTAATAATGGGTATTTAAAATACTAAAATTCATTAATTTTAGTATTTTAAATACCCTCAATTAGAAAAAATTTAATTTTTTTAATTTAAAAGACTATTTAATTTAAATTTTATTGTCAAATAAGTAAAAATGCTTTTTATTTCAAATCCTACTTGCTTTATTACCCCAGATAAGTAGTACTTAGGCTCTCTCTCTCTCTCTCTTTTTTTTTTTTTGAAAAAGCCACTTGTGCAAAGCAGCACCTAATAGCAAATTCAATTTTCTTAATCGTAAGTCAGTTTCATAAACTTAGTACCTTTGATCACCCTAGATTCTATTTGGAAAACAGTATTTTTTTCTTCTTGCATAACATGCTTTGATATGGAAATCATGATGGCTGAACTAAATTACACCAATAATGAAAAGTTAGATAAAGGGTAAAAAAAAATCCATTCTCAGATTTCTTGAGCAAAACCAAAGACACAAACTTCATTAAGAAAAAAAATTATTTGTTAGTTACTTTGCTTTAAATTAATAAATTTTTTAAGAGCAAAAAACAAACTTTTATTGCTTACATAAAATGCAGTTAAAAGAATGCTTTGTTAAAATAAGTACTGAGAAGAGAGAGGTTCTACTGTATTTATCAAAAATGTTAAAACATCTGAACTCTTATATTCAAATGAACGAAGTAACAATAATTGATAGCTTAGTTTCTAAATATTATTAAATAAGTTACTTAAAACACCTTTTGAAAGCTCTTTTACAAAGAAAAAGAGTAGAATTAAAGCAACTTCTTACTTTAGAAAATATTTAATTTTTCATAATACAAGCTATCATGCTAAAAAGAATTGAAGGTCCATAAAAAAAATAAGTTAAAAACATTTGATATACTCTAGAATACCAACATTTGCATATTTTTAGAAGTACAAAAAATTAGATTGCTAGTGTTCTCTATTCTGAAAAAAAGTTAATTAGGCTTTTTCCCTGGTTTTAGAACAAAATAATATTTGTGACATTAATAATATTTTAACAAAAGAAAAAAAAATGATATTAGAAGAAAACTTAATGAATTTCTTTAATTAATATATGTATGATTTGCATTTCAGTAAAAAAAAAATGTAAGTTGTTCCAAAAATCTTATTTGAGATTAAAACACTTAAAGTGAAAACAATATTTTCCATATGCAATAAAATAGTATAATAAATTTCAATTATTCCTTAAATATACTTTATGTTAAATAAAAATTGACTTTTATCAAACACAAAGTATTAGAACACATCTACTTTACCTCAACGATGACAAGAGCACTGCATAAAGCATCACTTGCCACATTGTGAAGAGTAGATGGAGTATCAGCATTAGCCTGCAAAATAAAAGAAATAAATAAGAAAAATAAATGCAGCTATACATCACAAATGCATGGCCATATTATTCACTGTTCTCTATAATTTGCAATAAACTTATAAAAAGAGTAATTAAAAAGTCTATAAAATATAACACATACCACCAACACGGACACTTGAAAGTTACTTCGTTATGTGAAAAAAAGATGGGGTCAAAATTCACAGTAACACACATGTCTTTGAATGCTTTGTAAATAATCAAGACTGTCAGATACAATGTTAAAAAGACTAAAATGTATCCATTTAGTGATATTTTATGAGTGTGAAAATATTTAATTTGAATAGGAACAACTAAACTATTTGAGTACCTTAGTAACTTTGATTGATAAAGCTTGATTGAAACAAATTAGATTTAGTAAGAGAAGGCAAGTTCATATTATTCCTATTAGTGTTACAGATTACCAACATCGGGAGAAGTGATGGTTGGAATTTTAGAACCTAAATTTTCACGTAAGTCTTTTGTTAGGTAATGTTATTCCAGGATCTATATGGTCAAAAGAATTATTGAAAGAATTATCTTACTAATCAAAAGAATTATCGAAACAAATCTGAAAATAATCAAAACAAAACATTAAATTCATGAAAGATCCTTGAACTTGAAAGCATAAGACTGCATAGTTTTAAACTCTAAGACTGTATAGTTTTAAACTGTATAGTTATAAAGTATTTGCTGGCAAAAAATTTCAAAAACTGTGGCCATGATGACATGAAAGTTTCTTAATTGAGAATCAAGGACAAAAGAAATTTGCTCATGAAAATGTGGATGAATTCAGCATTTCCCAGAGCAACACTGTTCATTACTTAGATAAATATTTTTCAACACCTCTAAAGTACGTCCCTGCTGCAAGAGGAACTTATGCAGAATAATAACATTAAGCTATATTAATATTGAATTATTATTTAGTTTAGGCAATAAATAAAAATTTTAAAATAGCAAAATACTAGTAAAAGAAAATCTTTTCGTAATATTTATTTACAGACTTGTCAATATAAAAGGTTTTACAGTTCAAAATCGTCAAATAATATCTCAAAGGAAAAGAAAATCTTACCAATGCCTGAAATATGTATGATAATAAAATATGCAACGATTGCTCAGTTGTTGGTAAACCTTTTACAGTAAACCAGCTACCTAAACATCGAAACACTTTCTTTAAAATTGCTGGATCATTCTGACTCATGGACTGTGCATATGAACTCTGAAAAATTTAAAAAGGGAAAAAAATCATTTCCTGTAAAACTTAAATAAAATATAATGCTTAGAAGAAGAATGGAAATCTCCTCTAGTGCACCAAGATTTTTTAAAAATAATAATTAAAGCTAGTATTGAATTCTATTGAAAGCTAGTACATTCTATTAAAAACTAGTATATTATTATAATTTAATTATTATATACTATAAATTATTACTTCATGCAGGTAGAGACATTGACCAAAATTTTTTTTAGAAAAAGCTTTAGACCATATTTTTGCATTTTTTTTCCTAAAAGCAGTTTTGGATACTAAGGATAATAATATAGAAGAAAATGAAATGAGTGCAATAGGGTTTGACATGTTAAACAAAATGTAAATTCAAAACAATTTTTATGTAGGAGCTCTCCTACAAAAAGTGTTAGTTAGATTAAAATTTCCCCTTAGCAGTTGAAATTCATATTATTCAACGCATAATAAAAAATATGAAACAAAGTATACATGACTGAGAATAATATGAAAACTATTTAAGTCCAAAAAAATAAAGCACACAATAAGTGTAATGTACCAAGTAAAACACATAAATTAATAAATTGTTAACACCTAAATACACAATTGGACTACTAAAGCAGTTAAGTTTTTAAACTTAATATAAATGAACAATCAGTTTTAATAAAATTCAAAAATTGTAAAAATTCTCTGAAAATAAATTCCTAAATTTTCAGGTTCCAGGTTTGTCAAACGCAAACCAACGAACACAAAACTTTCTAGTTTTGAGTCTGCAACTACTTTTTCCTTTTAAGAAGAAAATGATTAAATAAAATTAAAAACTTAAAAGCTATGTTATTTTATTTAACATCTTGTTTATTATTAAGAATATAATTGAAAATAACTTACCAGTAACTGTAAAACCTGGGAGGATACTAGTGAAAAATTTTCAATAACTTGATTTCTCCTATTTCCGCCCAGCCTTAGATGCCTACTATTTATCTATAAATGAAAAAAAAGAAAGTTCTTTTATTATCATTAATAACTAAATGGCCATTTTTAAACTTATTTACTTATAGTAAAGAAAATAACAAATAAAATAATTTTAAAAATATCATTAAAATTTAAAAACTACTCAGTTAGTAAAAAATTCATTCAATAATAAATTTTTTAAGGACAACAAAGGAAATTTTTTCAGGTTGTAAAATTTATATTATAACCTTCTTTAATGCCCCATTTGATTTCAAGCCTAATTTAGATAAGATCGGCAAAAAATATATAACAATGGTAACATTCTAAATAAATAATAGACTTGTTGAATAGGATTAAAAAAAAATTATTAATTTACCTCTTCTGGTAAAACAGTGAGAATTTCTAATAGGGTTGATATTTGTTGAGCATCATGCCCATACCTAAAAAAATTAAAAAAAACATAAAAAATACATATTTTGTTAGGATTATATACAAAAACCGAAAATCTAATATTGAATACATTAAAGAAATAATGGAAAAACATTATCAATATATAAGTTAACTTTGCGAAACTTTTTTAGTGCAAAAAATGTAAATTAATCAAAATGTTGTCAGTTTTCAACAGTAACAAATTAAAATAAAAATCTATTCTCCAAAAACATATAAATACACTTAAAAAAAGTTATTTCAAATAAGAAAATTTAAAGATAAAACAACTACAAACCAATTAAAAAGAAATTGCTAAGATACCTAAAACAATAATTTAAAAACAAATAAAGGTTAAAATAGAAAGAAAGAATGTTTCTTTTCATTAAAATTTCTTTTAAAATTTACATGAATAAAATATATGATATTATGCATTTATATGAATGAAATAACAAAACAAGCTTGACAACTTTATTGTTTGAGTAATTACACGATAGGGAAATCATTTAACACTTAATAAAAGTATAAATTACCTTGAAACCAAATCTTCAACTGGATTTTTCCATGAAGACATTTGAAGAGCAAGATCAGCTAAAGCCAAGCAAAGCTATAAAAACAATAAACGGCACCACTAAAAACAGACTGTATTACAAAATATTTGTTGAACTCTGCAACTTAGAAAAAGTTTCATAGGAACTTCACTTTTGAAAACTCTTGCACATAATATATTTATGAAATTTAGTATAATACAATTTTAAACAAAACAGTTGTAGCATTGAGTTTTTTGAGAAAAAAATAAATTTAGAGTATCTTAATGTATGGGGAACATTAAAATAAGACTTCATATTATAACTCACTTAAAATTATTTTACATTCCATTGTGTCACAAAAAAAAGAAAAGAAAAACAATTCGATTACTGTTAAACATATTATAAAATAAATATACTTTTAGCCTCAATAAAGTTGAGTACAAAAATAATAAACAAGCATTGTATTAAAAATCAGATTATTATTTGAAAATAAATTGTAATTAACTTAACACAGATAAGGAAATTACAGATACAAGAAAACATTAATTGTGAAAAATATCACCATTTAAAAATAAACAAAAAAGGAAAAAAATGTTAGGCTTGTATTTCAGAAGTTCAAAATTCTTAAATAATTAAATAAAATAAAAACCAGTGTTGATCTTTATCAACTGAACTAGAGTAAATTAAATAGCAAGATGCTAAATAAAGTGGCAAGATCAAAGATTTTAATTAATTTTGAAGAATTTAATTAATTAACATCTATCTTAAAAAAAATGGAAAACAGTTACAAATTAACATGCTCAGGTTTTCACAATTATCAATCATCTTGCTACTGAATTAAGCTCCTTAAACTTTCATTTCAAAGTATCAATTCTATCAGACATATCAGCCTAATATTTATGCTAATATAAGTAAAACAGATCACTTATAAGCAACACAGATGTTACACAGACAATTATAAGTTATCTTGAAAATAATTAAATATCATGAAGCCCAGTAGTTTCATATTTTTAATAATTAAGTTCAATGAGATTTGAATCAATTGTTCATTTATTTTTTCAGTATTTACTCAGTTATTTTGTTTTAAACTACACATTTCTACAATAATCATTTAATTAAATTACAGATAAAAGAAGCAAATTAAGGAGCTCTCTGACATGATAAAACCATAAAACATTTGTTATTGCTAACTAAAATGCATGAAAATTGTTAATTATGGTAGCAAAATTTAAAGTGACCAAAAAGTTTCTATTATTTATGAATCATTAAAATCTAAAGCCATTAAATTCCTAATTCTAAGTGGTCACATAAAAGAATAAAAAAAGTTTTATCACCTTTTTCATTTGCACATCAACTTATTAATAATATATTCTTAGAATCAGCAAGAAAACTTCAACTTCACAGCTATTTGTCAGATAATTATAATATATTTTAAAAACAAAGTTTACAATAAATAGCATTTAAAGTATTAATTACTTGAGTGACGATGACTGTTGATGTTTCTGATGTAATATGGCTAATATGATTTAGAAGTGAATCTCTGAGAGAAATGTGCGATTCTGCTGGCAACTCGTGAAAGGAAAACTGTATCTGGTGTAGAGAAAAAAAACAAAATTTTTTAATTTATGTTACTGAATAGAAAAACAACAAGAGTAGAAAATTTAAGTACATATAATATTTATTCATTTTAAAATGTATATATTTGCAAAGAAATTAAAAGAGGTACCTTTAAATTTATTTATATTTCAAACTATATTATTTTCACAGAAGGAAAACAAAAATGTGAAATTTGGAATAAATAAACTAGAATTATTTCTTAATAGCATTTCTAATTAAGTTTGAAGTTACAATTAATGATTCTCAAATATTAAGAAGACAGAAAAAGAAGACATAAAAAAAAATGCCACTGTAAAAAGATATAATTAAAAATAAAAACTGAATAACTCATTATTTATGTTTTACACAAATATAAGAATCTCAATTTTTACATGGAATCTTGAAATTAATTACAGGTATAAGTACATTTCAAGAGAGTTAGTATAAAATAAAGAAAAGAAGATAAATATAGTGCTAATTTTTCATACAAAATGTGTTGAAGATCTAAAAATTTCACTAAATTAAGGAACATAAATTTTTTTCTTCAAAAAACTTTAATATTTTCTTTAATTAGAACCATACACAATGATGATAAATATAGATACATTTTTTCAAAAATAAATAAAAAAAAAAATCTGATTTAGCATTTTAAATACTTCCTTCCTTATTTTTGCTATAATTTCAATTTTTTATTGTTTAAATATACTTTCCGCAACATCCATCCCAGTTAATCAAGTCATTTTCGGATATTAAACAAATAAATTTTCCAAAAAATTAAAATTACAGTGAAAACTCTCAAGACCGACCACTCTCTGTTGTATAGTAAAATGGTTGTTAATGGAGGTTGGTCATTCTTAGTGGTTACCTTCATTGACTTCAAAATGTTATTGAAGGTGAACATAATTTTCGTTATTTAATTTTAGTTTGCCGCATTTTCTTAGTGTAGAAATGCCACATGTGTTGGCATCAAGAAAACCGGATCCATAAATAAAACTTAGCGTCAATAAAAATTACCCCTAATTATAAGTAAAGCAAGTTTACCAATTATCATTGATAGAACTGTTTTAAATAAATAAACAGATATGTTTTTTGTCGCAGTTTGCATTTAATTTTATATCATAAATTTTTTTCTAAAAAGTGAGAAGGTTGTTTGCTAAAAATGTTCAGGGTTTTTTCTTTTTTACTGTTTGTTCTTCCCAACTTAACTTTTAACTTTATAAACAAATCACCAAAAGCATCGTCTTTAGTGCCCTCTGATTACAACATAAGAATGGCATTTTCTTTCAGAGATCATCAAAAAGAGCTCCTTCAATAAGAGACATTCACAATATTTTGAATATGTTGGAATCTACTTATTTGTTTAGTTAATTCTTTTTGTTTCAATAATTTTTTGTGCCTCCTTTTTCGATCTTTTCCACATTTGGTGCAGAGGTTTGCCCGGTCACTTTTAGAGGTTGTGATGAAGGTTTTCTTTTACATAAAATCTATGGAAAAAATTCTGTGCCTCTCAAAAATGGTTATAAATAGAGGTGGTATTTCCTGGAGGTTTCATTTTACAATGAAAATTATATTATATTATATATATCTATACACAATGTTGTAGACTGATTGGAAAATATGGATCCATGAAAACAATTTATTTAACTTTGCAAGGCATCTACAAGGTTCACAAAAATAAGTTAAACAAATGATGTCAGCAGTTTGCAAACTGCAAGATTTCCCAAATGTCAAATTTACATGTTGTGCAGTGCTTGCTTTCATGTACTGACAGTATGATTATTCATCAATAAAATATTTTTTGCTCTTTTAGAATTTACTTTATTTTAAATTTCATAATTTTTCAGTAATTAATTTTAATATAATATTTTGTTAGTTCTTACCTTCTCTGTTTTATTCATTTATTTATTTGGTCTCAGCATTTTAATTTAATCTTTATGTTGACTCTATTTACTAATATTCTTTTTTACACTTAATTTTAATAAACACTAATTTTCAATCATTATGGGTTAATGAACCTAATTAGTTTTACGGATGACAACAATAAATTTTTAATGCGTACCAAGAATTATGTAATTATGAAGTTTTTTTTTTCTCTCAAGTTTGTCTGCCCTATTAAGCTTTTGGACCACTAATTTTCCATTGCAGGTGTGACCATTATATATTATCAACTACTACCAATTCACTGCTGAATAAAGGTCTTCCTCATACCTTTCCTAATTTCGTCAGACCACCTAGTTTGGGGCCATTTCTTTAGTTGTATGATATAACTAGGACACTAGTCTAAGATGAGACTAGTTTAGTGATTATTCTTCAAGCTATAGTGGCTAGTCACTTGCCAATTTTAAGTGTTTAATTTTCTTGTAGATTTTGAAACTTTTCTATGCCGTTTTATCCCTGCAACTTGCTTTGGATGATTCCTCATAATACCCAGCAAACATTTTTTCATACTTATAATCACTTTTTTTTTGGCCTAAGATTTTGTAAGGATCAAAGAGTTAAGTCTTTATTCTGTCAATTAGCGCTGGTTATAAGCATAGATTAAAAACATTTATTTTATCAGAGAGAGTAGCAATTCTGCTCAAATACTATTGCTGCTCAAAAAGAATTTTGACTCATTTAATTTCAGGCATGATATGTCTATTATTATTTTTTGTCTTTAAAAACATATTTTAGCACTTTTTAAATTTTGATTCCTTAGATTTTGATTTCCCTCTTTGGATAGTAAAAATTAAACATAATTTTTTGATTTCCGAAAGTTTATTTCAAATTCAAATTGAACACAGGCTTTTTACTGACTGTAGGTCATGTCTTCTAGTTTGGTGAGGGTTGTTCGAGACAATCATGAATAGCAAAGCAAAAACGATTTTCTGTTTATATCATTACTTTTTTTACTTAAATAACGTATCTTGAATATTTCTTTCAGCAGAGAAGAAAACAATTTCAAAATATATATTGTACCTCATTGGCATACTTTGTTTTTAGTTTCATTTTAGCTAAATTTTTACTTATACTAACTGTTGCTGTTGTCTTATTATCAGTGAAGTTACTTCTGAAACCTGCTTTTTCTTTATGCTGTACCTAATTTAAAACATTTTCCAGACAGTTGATCAATATTTTCAAGAAGATTTCATAAAGTTTAGATAAGTTCTAAGTATTTGCTTATGGGTCTGTTGTTTTTAATGTTTTCCTCCGCTTCTTTTTTGAAGATAAGAAACAATTTAAAAATACTAATAAATCGCAATAATAAAAAATCAACACTGATTAATCATTTGTTTTTCAACTGCTTGAGATTGCTGCATCAATAGTACCTAGTGCTCAACAAATTTTGACCATTTTCAATTTTGAGGATTATTTTTTTAAACGAACGAAAAAAAATATCAAATTTAACTATAATTATTTCCAATTGTACTGGCTGATTGCAGATAGACTGATTGAAGCCTGCCGTTATTCATAATTTTACAAAGCTATAGCACTGTTTTGCATTAAGTTGATCTAAATCCAACAACAATAGCAAACTATTTCACAGTACTTCTAAGACAAATTATGAAAGATTTACAATCTATTTTAATCCAATGGACTAACTAGATTATTTAACCTGAATGTAGTTTCTTGAATATATGATAACATCTATAAAAATCATGTTTTATTTTAAATTTTATTTAATAAATATTTTTCAAAATGGGGCTTAGATTTATTTAAAAAAAATTTACTTAGTACTAAGGATGCCACTAAAGTACAATAGTAAAACACTAGTTTTTACACCAGGCTTTCTGTTGAGATGAATAGTATTAAGAAGTTATTAATAAATATTTTTATGTATGGTATAATATAACTTTTATTACACACGGAGATGAGCTAATTAATAATTAAAACAAATTTTAACCTTTGTCCTCATAGTCTGAGCTGCAAAATAACAGGATTCGAGATCTCCTCTTTGCTGAAGAAGCTCATCAGCTATTTTCCAAGCAAAGACCTGAAAATATTTAAAAATGCTAATTAAGAAAAGAAATATAAATTAATAACTTTTTTTTTTCCTTTTCAAATGGAAGGCACTGAACTTTATTCGTTTCGCCTTAGAAGATGCCAGAGATGTTACTCATTTTGCGTTACCCAGTGAGTACCTGTGAACCAAAGTCACGGAGGCGAATGTAACATTGCCCACGCCACACTGCCACAAACCCGTTCATAGGGTGGGCCACATTACTTCACCACACATAACAGAGGACAACACAAGAGAGAGAAACATCCATGCCCAGAGCGGGAATCGAACGTGCGGTCATTGGCTTCGCAGTCAGGCATGCTAACCGCTCGGCCACCTGGCCGGCATAAATTAATAACAAATTTGCATTTCTTACACAAAATTCTTCTACACATTGTTGCAGAATTCGAATTGAAAACTATTAGGTCCTGTACTTAGCTAACTTACTTCAGGCTAAACAGAATGAAAAATTAGTTGGAAAATAACAAGAGAGAATTAACTGAAAAATCTCACAAGATTTAACTATGTCACTAATAATTTAGTTTTGTAAGATATTTATGTAATAACATATCAGTTTAGTTTCTAACTTGACAAATATTTAGGCTAGACTTTTTCTCATATATGTAATTTTTGTTCTAATTAATGACATAATCATAAAGCTTAGCAATTTATAGTGATCTTTTTAATCTCAAGATAATCATTACTAATCGGCATTATACCACAAATTTGAAATAATAAACTGTAGATCTGTCTAATTTTAATCTTCTTGGTAGCTCATTCACCATAACTCTTTACTTGCTTGAAGGATGGTAAAAATAACCAGATGGCGAACCTCTAAGTAAGGAGCATTACAAATCTATTTACTACAAAATGTATATTTTATTTATCAGGGATGCTGAAAATTCTTAGATTCTAATATTTCGCCAAAGCATTTTTTTTTAAATTTAAAATTTTCTCTAAAACAAGAGTACCGTATATTCCGGCGTATAACGTGTGCAAAAAGTAACATTGGAATTTACGGGTGCGCGGTATACGCCGAATATAAAAAATTATAGATTAAAAAAATTTAAATTTAGAAAAATACTTTTATTTTAAAGAAATAACATACCTATATACTTTATTGGTTTTCGTTATTACATAAATAGTTCATTATATTCGTCTTCCGTTATTTCTTCAGGCACGTCATCGCAATCTGTTTCATCTTCATCATCTGTGTTACCCTCATCCATGAATAAACAGTCTTCTGATCCGTCCAGATTACTTGAAATGCTGCATTTTTTAATGATTTTCTAACCACCTCAGGCTTAATTTCATCCCATGCTTTTAATATCCATTCGCACACTGTTTCCAAACTTGCATGACGCATAGGTCCTCCTTTCTTAAAGGTTTTCTCGCCCTCCAACATCCAAGTGTTCCACTGTTTTTTTAAAATGGCTTTAAAAGCAGAAGTTCAATGGCTGAACTAATGGTGTCAATCCGCCCATAATAACTGCCACATCGGTGTTACATTCTTTCAACAATTTTTTTTGCATTATTTGTAAGGTGGGACCTAAACATGTCCCACACTAAAAGGCTTTCTGGTTTTCTATAGATACTAGATGAGATATTGCACATGTACAATCCAAATTTTCATGCACGTTATACGAAGAGTATATCTTAAAATTTAAAAAAAGTTATTAGAAATTACGGGTGCGCGTTATACGCCGGAATATACAGTACTCACTCCTCTTTTTAGGAAGTTTTGAACGTGTCCAATCTTTAAAGTAAAAAGAAACCGAGATTTTCACATTTTTTCGGAAGTTGCTAAGTTTCTATATGGCATTCTTTATTTTCATTTGCTGAGGAATGCCTAGCTCTTTTATGATCTTTGTTAATTAAAAGACAGTCTTGATATAAACATTATCAATTAAAATAATTTTATCCATGAACAGTGTAGAAAAAAGTTTTTCTGTAGACTCTCCAAAATGTCTATAACTCCAAGTAGCTGATAGATAAAAGAGTTTTAAATAATCTGAATAAGAATCAGGATGTTTGATTTTATAAACTGTGTGAATTTTAATCGCAATATGTAAATGTTTGGCTAAATGCTGAGTTATTACGGCAAGTTAACATATTTTATTTGAACGTGAGTATAAAGATGACAAGTACATACCATAGAACAGAATTTCCCAGAAAATTATATTACAATAGAAATAAGCAAGCAAAATTGACTTTGAAAAGCATGTGATAGACATTATGCATATCATTAAACTGAAGAAATAGTAACAAGTTTAGCTATAAATTTCTCTCTCCTTAATTAAAACATAAAATGTTACACAAGAGGCTTATCACTGCTTTTTAAAAATACATCATAACCGTGAACTTTATTTTTATACTGTGATGTGCCAGGAAAACCGTAATTGACAACGTAAAAAGAGTAAGATCCGACTGATTGGTTAAAATAAATAAAAAAGTAATTACAAAATGACATGAATACGACTTTTAAATCCCTCAAATATGAAACACAATGTTTGATTTCTAAAATCATGAGAATTCAATCATATTTTCAAAATGCAGGAATATGAATTGAGAATTTGGGTTTTTAAATTATATGAATATGAATCACTATTTTTATTTTTTAATCACATCACTTTAAATCGCAATGGTAAATTTTCAATCACAAGAAAACCTATCACGATGTATCATTTTCAAAAAGCATGAATAAGAATTGCATTATCAGATTTATTCAAATCACGTAGAAAATAATCTCAACCACCCAAATACACAAAATCATGTGAATGTAAAGTGCGATATTAAATTTTAAAAATACGGGAATATGAGCAGAGATTTTGGATTTTTAAACAGCATGAATACGAATAACGATATTTGATATCCAATGTGGAAACAAATCTGAAAGTTTCATTTCAAAATTGTGTGAATATAAATCATGATGTATTATTTGTAAATGAAATATAGTGGATGTGGTTACAGGGTTGTCTCTCTAATAATGTGGAAAAAAAATTCCTTGTACAATGCATAATCACTCAGCTGTTAAGTGAACTATATTGGGCAAACTATACTAATTTCAATTGCTAGAAAAACTTAAAGAAAAAAAGATACAGCAGAACATACTTAAAATAATTAATGCTATAATAAATGAAACTAAAATATCACCCGTAAATATCCCATCACTTTGAGAGGTTACCATTTTTTAAAAGACGAAAATAAGAAACAAAATACACTGTATTTCCCCAGTTTGTAATGAAAAAACTCAAAATTCCCTGCAGTTTCACTGTCATTTTAGGTGATTTTTAAATTCCCTGTATTTTCCAGGTTTTTTCGTGTTCTCCCTACGGAATGGCAACCCTGGGTTGGTTGGAAGATTGTACAACACTTGCTAAATGGAGCATGGCTGGCTAAATGAGATTAAATTGAGACAGTTAATTTTTAAATCAGCTTAGTAATGAAGTATGAATATGATTAAGTATGAATATGAATATGATTAAAAAACAATGTGACAAATTAACTTCTGCTAATTAAAATAGATTTCTACTGTTTCACTCTATTTTTATTTTAAAATTAAACATACTGCACGTGTATTTTACGCTATTTAAAGAACCATTCTTACCAAACTAAGCTAGAAATTATAATATTTACTACAAATTTCTTTAAACACCTATTTCCTCCTTACAATGTTATAAATTGTAACAAACAAGTAAAAAATTACTTATAACAGAAGAAAAAAGTAAATTTGAAAATGCAATTGTATAAAAAAGAGTTAATATATAGAGTACATTTGTTAAGTGAATAAAGACTATTAACAAAAGTGGTAAACAAGATTTAAATGTTTCTTTATGGCAATATCTTAGATATCAAAGCTTCAGCTCCTGACATGTCCAGATGAAGATTATCAGCTAAGAAACTCCTTAAGTAAAGACGATAATTCTTTAGGGGATATTTCTGTATTCTGACCTGATGCGCCAACTATAATGAGCAAAATGCCAGTTTGCAACTTTATTTAAAAAAAAAAAAAACATGCTCAGATTTGCTCAAGAGTGGCTACAAGTTATACCCTTTGAATTAGTCCCTTTGTGTGCTTTTTTTTTTTTTCCAGTTACCTCCAGACTGCTGCCTTAAAGTTGCTAAGACTTCACAATTACAGAGAAGATTTCCGTATCGTCATCTGTGACAGAAAAATAGCTGAGTCTTGGCAACTCCGGGCAGTAGTCTGCCAGAAACTAGAAAAATCACCACAAAAAAGGACCAACTCGAAAGGTATAACTCATAGCCACCCCCGGGCAATCATCGACATCTCTTTTGCTTTAAAAAAAATAATTTGCATGTTTAAAATCTATTTGGCAATAGTTAGTTGGCGTGGCAGATCACACTACAGAAATATTTCCCCCTCCCAAAAGAAATTTTGATATTTACCCAGGAGTGATTACAAGTTTAACCTTTGAATTAGTGTCTTTAAGTGATTTTTTAGTTCCCCAGGCTGTTGCCTTGAAATTGATAACTCTTTGCTATTATTATGGGGGGAAATTACAATGCGGTAATCTTTCCATTCTAATGTTCTTATACAAATATTTAGTTTTTTTTTCAAAATCAATTCACACATTTTCCTAACTCATTTGCTGTATTCACTATGAAACATCTTAATACATGTCTCATTATAACAGTATAACACATACTCTTAACTTACAAGATTTTTTTCAAATTGAATATTAAAAATTAATGGAACTTATCATCACAATTATTATAATATACTGAGTTGAATAATAAACAAGTTGTCACATATGCCAAATTGCATTAAAATGTTGGGAAAAAAGACAAAAATTAGCATGAAATCGAGAAAATTTTTATGCAATAAAAAGCACACAATTCGCTTAATTGAAACATCACTATGACAACTATTTTGCTAACTTATAAGTCAATAAACTAAAGGATGTAACTAAATGTAACTTTACAAAGGAGATTCAGTGGGTAATAATAATTTTGAAGTAAACTAAGAAAATTGAAATAAATTAATAGTATATAGAGTGTCAACTTACAGATCTCTGAAGATCACCTAAATAAGTGGACGCTTTTTCTTTCTCATTACTGTCAGGATTGTGATATAAAGAATAGATAGCTTGGCACACAATTTGTAGAGTTGGCTGTGAATCCATTTTTCACGATGAATATAATGAACGATCAAAATTATCACCAACAATAATAATACTTTATTTTTACTCAAGTAATTGAAAAATCTAATAACAATTTATCATAACCAAGATAAAACATTTATTGGACTTAGAACAATTCACACGAAAGTAGCCGATGTTCAATTTCCATAATATTTCATTATCACTTGTTGCCAACACAGAACTAAATAAATAACAACCTTGAATTTAAATTAACTGTTAGATAAATTTTGAATAAAAGTAAAATCTAATGGAGTTATGCAGGTGAAATCTGATTAAAAATAATTAAAAACAAATTTAGTTCCTTTTCTCAATTAAAATTTTGCTTGCACATATGGTTAATAAAAATTTTCATTTTGCTATCTTATGCTATTATTTAGTACTTCAAAAATGGCAATAACAAAATAGTGGTCTGCTTCTCGTTGCAGCAGCGGCTGCTTTTGCTTTCAACCTTGTGTATATTTAAATGTCCTTAAATAAAAATAGATAGCTTTTGAATATATCGTTTTTCACCATGGACGAAGATGGTTTGCCAATTGTTGGGTCTGGCGTTGATTATTCCCAAGTATATTATTTTGAATTTTTCGAGCATTATTGGTTTAATTGCACGCCCTCTTCCTGTTGTAGAGCAATATTATGATCTTATTTATTTATTTTTGCAGGTTGATCCCTTGAATCAAAAAAGAACTCTCACATTCCTTAATCATTTTTTAATTCGAACAACATCTTTCCTTAACCATTTTTCCTCTGTCTGTGATGAAAAGCTGGAAAATCTGCTCGTTCGAATACAAAGGTTGGAAGCTTCAATGTGTATACTGGAAGCCAAGGTTCGGAAAATACTCAGTTTATAACAAATTTTTTATACTATTCATAGCGCCTTTTAATGATGTTTGCCTTTTCTAATGCAACATTTAAATTATATTTTTTCTGCTTGATAAATTTGATTTTTGGAAGTAATGGTTCAAAATATCTCATGTTGAGTTTTAACTATTATTCAATAACCAGCAGTGCATAAAATGCAATATGAATAAAATCTAATTATTTCCTTTAACTTTTAAATCTACTTGTCATAATTTATTTTGCTTGAATTAAAATGATTTTTAAACTTTTTCTTTCAGCATACAAATTGGTTGATATGAATTCACTGCCACTCTTATTTTCTGAATCCCTTGTGTCTCTTTTGGATGCAAAATGTAATGCACATGCACGAAATGCAAGCATATACAATATTTACATCAACTAAATGAGATGTTGTTAAAATGGCTGTTAAAATTGATGCAATGGTATTGAATTTCAACTTATAAAAGTTTCATATCAAAATGGTTAAACCTCCTTAAAGTTTGTAGGATGCTCAAAACATTCAACTGGTTGCAAGATAACAAAGCTTATTTTTGTGCAAAATTTAAAATAAGATTTTGAATTGGACACAAAATTACTCATGTCACTTCAAAGATCACAAATAATAAACATGCACAAGTAAATGTCACCAAAGTTATCATACTTTCAAATCCACCTATTGGTTGCCAATTGGATGCATTTCTATGTAAAATTGAAACGCCTTTGCTATTTGCAAATATAATTGCCTGTAGGCAGGGCCAGATTTACGTATAAGCTAAATAAGCTGTAGCTTGGGGCCCCGACATGACAAGGGCCCCCAGATCCAACTTTTTCCTTCTATTTTTAAAGTTTTATTTGGAGCTGGAGCCCTCTGAAGACTAAAATAATTTTTTTTTCTTTTTTACATTGGTGAACGCTTTTCAAAATCTAATAGAAGTGTTCTTCACTTTTCTAACCAAAAGAGCAATAAAAAGGCCTTTTGACTGTTGAAAATATCCTGTCGCTTTCGTAGCTACCAGTGATGGGAGTAGTCCATGGATCCTAAAAAGCGGTACTCTAGACTCCATGGAGTAGTCAAATAGCTGCCTCAATTTTACACTGTGGGAAACGTTTTCAGCTTCTTTAAATTGCTGTGGGCTCTTTTGTCCTTTTCCACAGAAACACCCTTTTGTCTGATTTCTGGGCAAAAAATTTCTAGGGCTGTGAGAGAATCTTGTTTAGGGTCACTCTGTTTCGAGATTTCCGTTGTGTCTCATTGTCGTTAAAGAGCTTCTCGTTTAATTTTAACTTTTCTTTTTTGCAAAATATATTTTTTCCAATTTATTATAAAAGCTTTTTTTCCTTTTAATTATCCTAAATGTTTTAACTAGCTTAATTGTTTAATTTACTTAATTATTGTAATTGATTTTAATTTGTTATTTTCCAAATTAATCGTACATGAATCCGTGAACTCCTTTCTTTATTTATTTAAATGGTGGGCCACTATTCAATTCCCTCTTTGACAGGCCTATCTGCCAAAAT